GTACTATAGTGTGTCTGGCCCTGCACAGTGCGCAAACTCTTCTTTCTTTTTTTTTTTTTGGAACGGGGGGGGGGGGGGGGGACGCTCACCCCCATTGTATGTGCATTACAGCTGGCGTTCACTGTTGAAATTTTTAGAGGTTACTGGGCACCCTCGCGGTCTCTGAAAATGCGATACTTTCCACCATGCCCAGCTCTTTGTCTCTGTGACCAGAATAACACGGAGCAGACATGTCCCCTTCTCCCTGGTCTGATGTTCATGATTATTAGGCTTCTGCAATTTCTTCTATATAAATATTTAAAGTGTGAATTTCAGATCCAGGCTGTGCACTAGGTGATTATCTCTTTTGGTTTCTAGTTGCACCTGCCTGATCTAGGTTACATTCACCTTTTCTTCCACTTTATCACTTTCAACTGAATTTGACAAGCCTCTAGTTCAATAGTTAGTAGACCCGCTTCACAGTGCCTTCCTTTGTCTTTTGACCTCCGTGTGTCGCAGCCACAAACCAGTCAGACTACATGTGTGCTGTACGTTATGTTCGTTGTCGAATTCATGTTTCAAGGGCACCTTCTAGCACAGTGGATGATGCAGGCGGGAAAAAGTTTGAAGGACAGTTTATAGCACAAAAAATAGACAGGTATGTAAAAACTGAAGGTATGGAGCTGTAGCCCAGAACAACCAGGGGGTTTTCAACAGTCGTACCTGGGGAATAGAAAACAGTGGCTGCTGTGGCCAACAGCTTCTTTCATGGCCCAAACAGCAATATTTTTTTTAAATACATTTATTCTAAAAAAAAAAAAAATCATACCATTGCCTTTGTTTTTTTTTTTTTTTTGTTTCCCATTGTTTTCTGACTTTTTTTTTCCCCCAGTGCATTTTCCCTATGCTCCACTAATGCACCTTGCTGCTACAACAGTGCTGTTATTTCTGGTCACATGCCCCACTCTATGCATACTTCAATTTTTATAGAGAGTGTGTCAGCAGGTAGATGTGTAGTCTTTGTGGCTACATTCAAAGTCACAAGGTACATTATAGTTATATTTAACCACTACAAATCCGGACACTTTTACCCCCTTCCTGTCCAGGCCAATTTTTGAGCTTTCAGCGCTATCAAACTTTGAATGACAATTGCACGGTCATGCAACACTGTACCCATATGAATTTTTTAGCATTTTTTTGAGACCGATAAAAGTTTATTTTTCCAAGTCCAAAGTCCAAGTCCAAAAATTAAAAAAAAGTGTTTTTCTTTATACAATTTTGCAAATAATCTTTCTTCATAAATCTTGGTCAAATTTTATTCAGTTATCTCCAAAAAAAATATATAACCCAAATTAGTTTATAAGCAAAAATTATCATTTAAAAACTTTTTTTTTACATTTTTTTTTTTTTTTTTTTTATATTAATGTTTTTTTTCATTACATACTGTCACCCTAGCAGTACAGTGTTACCATATTGACACTGTACTACTCGTGGGGGGTGATGAGGAATTTCTTTTTTTTTTTTTTTTTTTTTACACTGATTGCTTTTACACCCATAAAGGCTGTAAAAGCAATAATTTCTCCTTCTCTCTGGCTGCATTCTTGCAGCCATTGAGAAATACTGTGAGAGCTGTGATTGGTCACAGCTTGTCACATGGTACAAGTCTGTTGTGAATAGCCTTGTACCGTGTGATTTCTGTGATCATTCACAGATTTCACAAGTAGTAAGCAATGATGTCAGAAGTGACCCCTTGCTTACTACTATTCATTTGATCACTGATTGGCCAATCGGTGATCACATGATCAGGACCTCACATAGAGGTCCCCGTACAGTGATCGGTGTTTCCCTGTGTCACAACCTGAAAATGAGGGCGCCGTTTATGAATGGCAACCTGCTCCTGCACTGCTCCCGTCTGGCCATTTATGTACATGGGCCAGACGGGAAGTGATTAAACACATTGCATTCATTTTAGTTTATACAAAACATGGAGATAGTATCACTTTAAAGGATTAGATGGTTTGCTGACATAGCCGGGTTATTTACTAAAGCTGGAGAGTGCAAAATCTGGTGCAGTTCTGCACAGAAACCAATCAGCTTCCAGGTTTTGTGCCAAAGCTTAATTGAACAAGCTGAAGTTAGAGGCTGATTGGTTACTATGCACAGCTGCACCAGTTTTAGTAAATTCCCCCCACAGGGACAACTCCCTTTTTATAATTGGGCTCCTCTAGTTTCCTTACCACTGATGACAATTGGCATTACTCCTTTTAGCTATATGTAAGGGGACATCCTTTCCCTCTGACCACCTATGTATGGAAGGAGAATTCTTTCCAATGACCACCATTGTAATGTAGCCCCCCCCCCCCCCCCCATAGACAATGTAAAATGGGTTTTCCCACCAGTGTACTGAAGTATTTTTCTGGTGACCGGTGTAGGGGTACACTATTGAAAATAATTGTTGTGTAGTGTGGGCGTTAAATACGCAAAGAATGCCTTTTTTTTTTTTTTTTTTTATTCCTATTATAAAACGTATTGTTTATGCTAATTTACCGTGAGCTGTAGACATAACAATTATCTGCAGGATTTCCCAAGTCATAAGAAGTTATTTACAAGGGTTTCTCTGTGTTAGAAAGATCGAAAAAGGCTGTTCTGCAGTTTAGCCAGTATTTCTTGCAAAGAAAGTACTCATCGGGGAAGAGCCACCAAAAAGTGACCCTTTCCTTGAACACTGTTTAATCTAGATTTTCTTTTCTCCCCCCTATGTGTTACCAATTAATCCCATTATGCTGCCATTACTAGGAACAGAGAGTGGAAAATATAAAACTCATAGGTAAGCCTTTTAAAGCCATATAAAATTAGATTTATGCTACTTTAGATGCCAGAGGCTAAGTATAAGCTGCGGCAAAGGGCGCCCTGTAGTAAAAAAGCTTTAGTGCTTGTGGTGTGTATGGGAGTGCCTTTTTATGGTAGCAAAATGTCTGTTCTTTTGACAAGAGTTTAAATGGGACAATCCTCTTGTTTCTTTCTTCATAGAACGTAGTTCTAAACCAGTTTTTTGGTGTGGCATTTTGTAAATGCTAGAAAGCTTGCACATTTTCCAATTTTTACGGGGGGTGTGTGCTGAGAATATGTTTAACTTGTAATTGTGATCTTTGCATCAAAAAATAAGAACGTTGGCTCGTATGTGTGCTATGCTGCATTTCTCCTAGTTTTCAGAAGGCTCATGCTATTCCTTAGAATGGATAATTGGGGTTTGCATTTATTTTGTATAAGGCACGAGTTTGCATTTGATAGGAATTGCACTTTATGGAATAGACTGTAGCCAGCTTTGCAGTACAATTTGTTTGTCTTATTGATCGTAATTGATTTTATTGTTTTCTAAAAGATAAATGTTTGACTTTTCTGGGATATTGTACTTTAAAGATTGTTTTTAACTTTAAAGTAACTCTGTCCTAATTGTTTACAAAAATATTTGCATGGCCAATCGCCGTTCCCCATTTCCCCTCCACCCCAACCCAAGATTGGTTTGCAAGGGGGAATGTAACATGAGGTCTGTAGGGTAACCATGGGTATTAGAGAAGTCTACCTGAAGTCACCTGGATTTGGCAGTGATACTCTTCTTTATCTTCCCTTGATGAAGTTAGCCTATAGGGATTTTCTTTAAAAGTGCTGCTGATAATGCTTTAAGAAATAGAAGTGTTAATAGGTTGTTGTTTTTTTTCATCAATTAACAAAATAGAAAGTAAATGAGCAGATGCGAAATCCAAATCAAATGAATATTTGGTTTAACCACCCTTTGCCTTCAAAGCAGCACCACTTGCACACAGTTTTTAAAGGAACTCGGCAGGTAGGTTGTTTCAAACATCTTGGAGAACTAACCAGAAATGTTCTGTGGATGTAGGCTGCCTTAAATCCTTCTGTCTGTTTCAAATCCTTCTGCCTTTATGGATTCTTCCATGAACACTATTTCAGGCTAGACTTCTCCAGACAGTAGATGGATGTACCTGGGTCCTACTGGTTTCTGTCAGTTCTGAGCCGATGGCACTTTCGATGTCTGGGGGAAGTAAGCCTGATGTGTCTTTCACTCACTACATTAAGTTTCCTTGGCCGACCAATGAGTCTATGTCCTCAACATTGCCTGTTTCTTTGTGCTTGTTCAAATAAGTTTGAACAACACATTTTGAAATCCCAGTCTGCTTTGAAATCTTTGCTGGGCAGAGACCTTGCTGGTGCAGTATAACCACCTCGAGTCTTGTTTCCTTACCTTAGTAGCAGAGTTTGGCTGTTCTTCACCCAGTTCAAAGCCTCCTATGCAGCTGTTTCAATTAATGACTGTTTCAACCATTATATAAAGTAGATGATCATTAGCACCTGCTTGGTATAATTAATCATACACCTGGCTCTAAACCTACAAAATCAAAGACATTAGCTTCAAACAAGCATCAGTTCTTATACTTGCACAAAGGGTTGTCACACCAAATATTGATTTTATTCACATTTTTCTTCTGTACGTTCACTTTGTATTTTGTAAATTGATCAAAATAAACCATTTTTGAACGCATTCTTACTTTACAGTCTTTGCTTCACACCTGCCTAAAACTTTTGCACAGTACTGTGTAACAGAAATTTAGTATGCGTGCAACAGTCTGCCAAAGTTTTTACATGGTCTGGTGAGAATATCTGCTTGAACTAGACAGTTCAAAGGCTTGGCTTGTCCACTTTAATGTGGGGAATGATGTATCTCATGGGTAGAACCCTGACTAAGGGATAATGAATCTTGTGGGTGGAGCCGTGACTTATGGTTAGGACAATCGTTAAGGAAATGTATAGCTTATGTTTATAAAGTTTTATGCTTTATCTTCTGAATACGTTAACTGCTGGAATGTTGTGACATAGGAGACACTCTAGCAACCATTGTATAGCTTTGTGTTGGTTAATGCAAACAGAATAATTGGTCTATTCGTCACACTTTTATAATACAACCACTGTTTGTTGTTTTTTTTTTTCTTTTTCTTTTTTTTTTTCTTTTTAGGAGAGCTCACACATTAACAGTGCTATTCATCCTGACGTGCTCCTTGGTATATGTTACATTACTTGAAGAAACTCCCCAAGACACAGCCTATAATACAAAAAGGTATACTTTCCTTTTTTTTTTTTTTTTTTTTTTTTTTTTTTTACCGTTCTCTTCTCAGTTCTTGAACCTAAAGTGGTAGTAAAGGCTACCTCCTAGCTTTTCTTAAAAATACCCCCCCCCCCAACACTCACACACGCTCACCCCCCACACGCGCCCGCCCCCCCCACCCCACCCACCCACACCCCCCCACACACGCACCTATCCTTCATTTAAAAAAAAAAATCTGTGTACTTACCTTTTTTTAAACAATTGAGTTTTGTGATTCAGCAGCTCCTGCTCCCCTTTATAAGCAGCGCTTGTCATCGGTTGAGAATTCCCAGATCCATTATCTCATCTCTAGCTTGTCATGGCCCAGCCGTTGTCACTCCCTTATCTCCCCTGCAGCAGCTGCTCTCTGACACTGGGAATCCAAAACTGCTATATTCTGTGACTAGACCAGATTAAAAATAGGCAAGTACACAGATTTTTTTTTTTTTATGCAAGATAGGTAGGAGGAAGAGGGAGAGAACCTTTTAAAGAAAAGTTAGCCTTTTCTCCCATTTTAAGGCATCTCGGCAGTGGTAATATGAAAATGATACCTAATGAATCCTAGAACAAGAACCATCACTCTTCTAGGTGGTGAAGTTAAAATAGTTTAATTGCATCTCTAGTGAATATTGTTTTTTGGAAGCTGTGCCCAAAAAACAATCAAGTGTGCTAGCCACCACTATTGCCTGTTGTCTCCCTGCAGCTGATATTTTCACCATTGCTGACTTACCATGCCTTGTAGCACACTGTGTCTTTGTGAAGGTGGACATCTTAGTAGAGGATTGTATTAAAACCAGCACTAAAAATTTGATTGTTTTCACAGGTTAATTCCTAAATGTCCTTTCAAAGAAATCTTTGAAACCTTCGTGTTTGATAAAGAACATTCGTTGCATAACAGTCTCCCTTCTTTTTTGTTGAGTTTCCGATGAAAAGTCACTCTACCGAGCAACCAATCTAAAAAAAACCAAAAAGAAAAACTATATAGTGTAGCACACTTAACTTCATGTGTATTGAAAATATTCATATAATGTTGCTCACATTAAAATATGTGTAAGCCTTTTTGTATACTACTCTGGAGTCGTCCTCTCCATTCTTTATGTTTTGTGTCCTTCCTTTGAAAGATCCTCACCCCTCGCTTCCAGGTAATTGTTATTGCTGGTTTTAATAAATGCCTACCTTACTATTTTATCCGCTAGTTGGAAAATCTAGACTTCACTGATATAAGTTCCTGTAATGCACATAACCAGTCTTTGACATACCAGGTATAGATCATTTCATAATCTCCATTTTTGTCTGGGAGCTAGGAGAAATGTGTCCCAAGGGTATTAACCGTTGTAGGATATTAGCATAGAGCTCAGGGATTACCTTTCTGTAACCTGTCAGGATAATTAAGCAATGACTTTGTATCCTGCTTTACCTAACAAAGCTAGCACATGAAACAAAGACTTTAGAGCGGATGTTTACTATATATTTGCATTATTGTGCATGGTCTATAATATGCAGCCTCTCTGTTGCCTTTATGGATTCTTTCATTAAGTCCTTAAATAATTGAAGCACTTTTGATTGACAGGAAAACTAGAGTGCCTTTTGGTGAAATGTATATTTTTTAGTTTATATATTTTTATACATATTATATGTTTTGTATTGTAACACACACACACTTCATATAAAAAAAAAATGTTGGTCTCCAATTCTCTAAATGAAATAGTCTCCATAAAGAGCTGTCTGTTCACAGCAGAATGGAGGATAATGGGTAATTGTTCGTTTCTATGGTGGGGAAAAAGGGGTTTTTGGTTGTTACTTTTAACTACAATATACTTCCTGGTCTTTGGAGGTGCTGGCGATGTAACTAGGGCCTCACAGATGCCTTCCTGGGAAGTTTTATGTGCACATTGTGAGATTTCAGGTAGGAGATTTTTTTTTTTTCCCCCCATTACTCTAATTGATATCTAGATTCATGGGCAAGGGGAGCGGTTAGAACTCCAGGAATAGGAGGAATTGAATCCTCTTTCCTTTTTTTAAATTGGTCACTGGGAGTAGTGTGCTGGACAGAATAAAAGTGAGAAAATCCATGTAAAGAAAAGTCTACAAGGAAGAGTAAATCTTTTTTCACAACCTTTTGCCATGGTGACTTCACTTTCTTTGTGACAGTCCTGGGAAAGATCTACTTTAAAGTGTATGTGAAACTGAAGGTGGTCTGGAGACTATTCTTAAACTTTAGATTTCCCATCACTTTCTGTACTGAACCAATTGTCACTAGGACAAAGAGAGGGTCAATCTTTCCAGCTGGTAATACATCAATAAAAACCTGACTGGGTGTCTAGCCCCCACTCATCTTTCTATAAAAAACAAAAGTTTAGGCTTTACATATACAGCACTTAGTAAATATAACTTTTTTTAAACAAATATATTTTTTAATTTGAATTAAATGCATGCATATTTCCTCAGAAGGTGCTGTTCTACCATAAAATTCAGTTGAACCCTCTTAAAATGGAACTTCACCCAACTATCCAAAAAGTAACAGCAGTTACAAGTACTGTAATTGCTTACTAAAACAAAAAACACACAAGACGTTCAGTCTTCCTAGAACCTGAAGTCTTTCCCATTGTTTTGTTCCCATGCTACCATCTTGTATTTGGGAGACAGCTGTGGCTTTAGCAGGCTTCCTTGCTAGCCTGCTAAAGAAAAGTACTTGGGTATGTACAATAGGAAGTAGGAGGGTTATGATTATGTAGTGTCTTAAAGTATTTCTAAAGTATACATTTTTTTTAACCGCAATCCATATTCTGCATTAAAGTAAAAAAATGCCACACTACTTATCCTACCCATCCCCATCCCTAAACACTTACCTGACTCCTTATATTGCTCCAGCGCTGTCTTGGCTGGAGCACTGCTCTTCTCAATTCCTAGTCTCACAGAAGACCCTGAGGGCAGCAGAGTCGTAGGCTCCTGCTGCTCTCAGTCAAGAGGAGGAGGGATCGGGGTGTGACTTACCGGTGCTGTCTGTGTCTACGGATGCACACAACACGGCATGGAAGCATATGTACACACATGCCTCCTTAGCACCTGACTTGCTGAGCAGGCACCTGCAGGTGAGAGGAGCGGACAGCGTCTGTGGGGGACTGACAAAACGGATGTGTGGAACTGCAGTATCACTACACAATCTGGTAAATATAACTTTAACAACAAAAAAATCCTTTATTATCACTTTAAATGTTAGTGAAGGTCTGCTTTAATGTATCACAGCAATGAAATGAGGCTGTGCATATACAGTATAGAAACAAAAAAAAAACACCTTTTCTTAAAATTTACTTTTATCTAGCCAAGTGCAGCAGCAAAGGTTAAAAAAAAAAATACCTGTTGGAAGAGTTGGACTGCAATATTTTATTTTCCCACACAAGCGGCACCCAGTCGTCTTGCAGACTGACACATCCCACTGAACACTGCTCTAATCCTGCTTTTGATTAGAGAGAGTTGGGCTGCTCCTTGTGTGTGACGACAGCGGCCTGCTCTCCTATGTGCTGCCAGTACAGGGTTACAGATCAGATTTATTACTGTATATGCAGCCTGGCTGTATTACAGTAATTGAGGGTACATTTGGGCTTTAAAATTGCCTGCTTGCTCCTGGATTGGTTCTTGAATTCTTATTTAGAGTGAGGGAAAAAAACAAAAATAGTGTCTGCTCATCCGGCTTTTATGTCTTAATTTAAGAGCAGATGTTTCCATCTTGGCAAGGGTAAAGACATCCAGATATAAGAATTATTAATAACCAGATCAGGTTTTAACCACACACACACACACACACACACACGTGACATTTTGTTTCTGAATCCTCACAAGTTTAATCCTAGATTTCCTGTTTGCTCCTTGTTTTCTGAGAGCACAAGGAAGTTTACTATGTGGCTGTCCTCTATCAGCCCTTCCTGTCCTGCTGCACTTAGTGCTTGTGTTCAAGCTTCCTTAATACTTCAGATTGAAGGGGTTTTTTTCGTTTTGTTTTTCCCTTTTTCTTTCATATGAACGCAGCAAGAAGGGTGAGTCGGTCAAATCTTTCATTGGAAAAAGAATGACTGCCACATTTTTTTTTTTTTCGTTTTTTTTTTTTTCCCCCCATGTAGTAAAGTGAGTGGCAAAATAGATTTTAAACATTTTTTTTTTTAAACTTGGAAGATAATGGCAACAAATGTTAAACAGGATAGCCCCTTACCCACATTTCGTACAATTTTGTAATCTCTGAACGGCCATTTGGTCAACACTTCGTATTTACTTGCACTTAAAGATTGTGTAAATCTACTTTCTGGAGACATTCTTAGGACTGATGGTTGTTCTCACTTTTTACATTCAGAGCCCGCACCGTACTGCACCATATTGAATCGGCCAAACGTTGTGCATGCGCTATTTTTGAAAACTGACTACAACTTCATTGCATGGTACTTTTGTACCATGCAGTCCAGGGCGGGCAAACGCTGGGTGTTTGCTACCTGCGCTTGGGATGTCATTATTGATACCTGCTGCAGATTGCAACCGCAGTGTGTTTGGAATGCGGTGCAGGAAATGTACATGGAGCGTGAGTTTCCCGCACCGCATTTTGGTGTGAACTGACCCTCAACCCCCATAACAATAGTCTTGTGGAACTGAAAGATGATGTAAATAAATAATCTGAGAATAAAAAAAGCTCTTCGGGACTTCGGGGTGGACTCCGGCCTGATCAGCAGGAAACCTGCTCACAGATTGGAACAGAGCAGGCAGGTGACTGACTCAGTTTCTGCAAAGCAGACATGGACAGATCCCGCTTTGCTGTATGGGCAGCTTGGTGTAAACGGACTAAGCTGTCTGATTTGCACCTGACTACCCTTCAATTCATTTCACCTAAACGAAAGAGGATGGATCTCCTTCTGTTTTTTTTTTCTTTTGCACAGACCAGATCAGGCCTGGAAATAGGTGAGTGTAAACGGACACAAGTCCATTTACACCTGCCTGTCCATAGGGGTGAATGGACCATATGATCTGGTTCCGCCTGAAAAACTGACAGGCGGACCTGATCAGACCTGCTGTGTAAAAGGAGCCCAATTCTGAGTGTCTTGCGTTTTATGTGACCAGCTGTTGGCAAGCTTCAATGTTGCATAATGCAGCTATCGCATGTCGCAAAGTTGTTACCTGTGAGCTTCAGTCTATGCAGCACCACGCTGTGAATGCAGGCTGCGTTGTAACCTTGAGCTCCAGGGGTTTTTCCATAACCGCCCAGGTTCACAGGAAGAGATTGGATGATGCTGGACATCATTCAACCTACAAGTGGCTGTGCAGAGACTGAGCCAGGAGGATGCAGAAAGTATCTTTTATTCTCTTGTGTTTATACAGAGTCTTGAAATGACTATTGTGCACAAGAGATCATGTCGGATTTACTTGCTGTCTTGTGAGAACTGTGGATTATTGCATCTGTTGACAATAATACATTGTCAACTGTAGAATGAATATTTTCCCAGCCTGCCAAGTGACATAAAACTTGTAAGGAGGAATCGTACTTTAACTGTGCTCTTTTAGAATCCTTTGGCTATCTGAGCGTGACACTTTGCCTACTTTTCATTGTTCTGTTAGCGACTGTCACTTATGAGTCTCATGAATGCACATACTTGGGGAAGGTCACAATGTACCGTTGCCTAGCACAAAGAAACAAGTTTTAATAGTCACTTGTATTTCCAGTTTGTCTGCATCTCTAGCTAACAATTTGGTTATTTGAAAATGTTTATTGCCTCTGCAAGGTCTGTTAGGTCTAAAGCCTACACATTTTTAACCATAACGCATTCCTTGCATTAAGGTGAAAAATGTTAGGGTAGCAGTAGAGCCCTCATTTTATCCAGCACTGTGCCTGTTTGCATTGGCTCTCTCCTCTCACTTCCTGGTTTCACAGGCTTTGCTGAGGCAGTGGGAGCCATTGGCTCCTGCTGCTGTCAATAGAAGACAGTGATGCGGCAGGTGGGACCAGGCCCCTCTGTGTCGATAGACATTGGCATTGGGGCTTGGGAGTGAGCCCACACAAATACCCCCATAGCTTCCTATGGGGGCACTCGCCAGTGGGGGGGAGGGGGACCAGAAGCGCCTGCAGGGTGACCAAGAGGTTCGGGGGTGCACTGTGCAATTCCATTGCATAGAGCAGGTAAGTATAAACCCATTTATTTTTATAAAAGCACATTTTTGCTTTTACATTCACTTTACAGTGCCTTGAAAAAGTATTCATACCCCTTGAAATTTTTCATATTTTGTCATGTTACAACCAAAAACGTACATGTATTTTATTGGGATTTTATGTGATAGACCAACACAAAGTGGCACATAATTGTGAAGTGGAAGGAAAATGAGAAATGGTTTTCAAAATGTTTTTCAAATATCTGAAAAGCGTGGCGTGCATTTGTATTGAGCCCTCCGGAGTCAATAGTTTGTAGAACCACCTTTTGCTGCAATTACAGCTGCAAGTCTTTTTGGGGATGTCTCTACTAGCTTTGCACATCTAGAGAGGGACATTTTTGCCCATTCTTCTTTGCAAAATAGCTCAAGCTCTGTACGATTGGATGGAGAGCGTCTGGGAACAGCAATTTTTAAGTCTTGCCACAGATTCTCAATTGGATTTAGGTCTGGACTTTGACTGGGCCATTCTAACACATGAATATGCTTTGATCTAAACCATTCTATTGTAGCTCTGGTTGTATGTTTAGGGTCGTGGTCCTGCTGGAAGGTGAACCTCCGCCAAAGTCTCAAGTCTTTTGCAGATTCTAACAGGTTTTCTTCTAAGATTGCCCTGTATTTGGCTCCATCCATCTACCCATCAACTCTGACCAGCTTCCCTATCCCTGCTGAAGAAAAGCATCCCCACAGCATGATGCTGCCACCACTATGTTTTACAGTGGGGATGGTGTGTTCAGGGTGATGTGTAGTGTGAGTTTTCCATCACACATAGCATTTTAGGCCAAAAAGTAAAATTTTGGTCTCTGACCAGAGCACCTTCTTCCACGTTTGCTGTGTCCCCCACATGGCTTCTTGCAAACTTCTGATGACTCTTTCATCAATGGCTTTCTTCACTCCATAAAGGCCAGATTTGTGGCGTGTATTACTAATAGTTGCCCTGTGGACAGGTTCTCCCACCTGAGCTGTGGACCTCTGGAGCTCCTCCAAGGTTACCATGGGGGTCTCTTGGCTGCTTCTCTGATTTAATGCTCTCCTTGCCCAGCCTGTCAGTTTAGGTGGACGGCCATGTCTTGGTAGGTTTGCAGTTGTACCATACTCTTTACATTTTCGGATAATGGATTGAACAGTGCTCCGCTCAAAACTTTTTTTTTTTTTTTTGTTTATAACCTAACCCTGCTTTAACTACTGTATTTATACTGAGATTAAATTACACACAGGTGGACTCTATTTACTAATTAGGTGACTTCTAAAGGCAATTGATTCCACTAGATTTTAGCTAGGATTATCAGAGTAAAGGGGGCTGAATACAAATGCACGCCACACTTTTCAGATACTTGTTTGTAGAAAATGTTTAAAACCATTTATAATATTCCTTCTGCTTCACAATGATGTGCCACTTTGTGTTGGTCTATCACATAAAATCCCAGTAAAATACATTTAAGTTTTTGGTTGTAACATGACAAAATGTGGAACATTTCAAAGGGTATGAATGCTTTTTCAAGGCACTGTAAATGTAGTATATGCTCTAGTCAGCCCACCTAAAGCTGGCCATAGATGGTTGTAATCTCGGCCAGTTCAGTAGGGACTGGCCAAGGTTCCATTCATCTATGGTCAAGCTGATTGTACTCAAATCGATTGTTGTACGACTTCGGTAAAACCAGCCTATCAGATTTTTTCATTTGATTATTTCAAGCGACTTTAGCTGCTAGCAATAATCACTGTGTTCTCCCGGCAGGGACGGTGCTCCCAGAACACAATAGCTCTCTAGGAGTGATTCCCCCATTAACACGGATTGTGTTAATGGGGAAATCAAGCAATTTTCTTATGGACTGGTTATGGCATGGTGTGGCTGCTTCTCAAATATATTAAGATATTTCAAACCTGAACTCCGATGCAGGTACAGTTGTTTATGCCCTACACCCCAACTGTCAAGGGGGCAGTCATTATTGTTCAGCTTTTGGACACTTCTATATCATTTTTCAGGAGCGAGGGGTCTATCGCTAGACCAAGAACATTAGGGGCTGACTCTGCCACCAGCTTCCACCTTTGACTAAAATATCATTATTTGTGTTTATTTTTTTTTTTTTTAGAGGAATAGTGGCCAGCATATTGGTGTTTCTATGCTTTGGTGTCACACAAGCTAAAGATGGCCCATTTTCAAGACCTCACCCAGGTATTTCCTTTGTATTTGTATTAATTATGTGTTTAATAGCTTGCAATGTTCTCTTGCTAAAGTAAAGAGCTGGACAATTTCCAAGCACCTATATTATTATAAAAGTGGTTGCTGGCTCCTAGATTGGACTGCTTTTGGCTTTTTTTGTTTTAACTTGTTCACCATCGCTTTAGCACAGAGCTATAATTGAATTAGAATGTACCAAGTTAGAGAGCTGTCAGAGGATCAGTGAAATATTTATTTTGGGCCCTTCCAGGTTACCCAAAACTCCAAAACTATACAACAATAGTGCAACGCAAAACACTTATTTCCAGATTTATACAGAAAACAAAGGAAAAACATTATCTAATATTTACCAGTCTGGGAGCCTCAGCCCATAGCTTCAATATCTTTTCAAATTTACTCCCACATCCCCTTCTTACATAAGTAAGCTTTTCTCTTATGAACACATTGTTAATTTCTCTCAACCAGTCTACATGAGAAGGTGGAAGAGGGGCCATCCATTTCTGGGCGATGAATTTTCTGTCCTAATAAAGACACCATAGCACTACAATCTGTGTTGATGAAGGGATCGCTTGATACTCCATATATCCCAACACACATAGTCTAGGCTGCACCAAAAGAGTTACTCCCAAAGACCGAGCTTATTGTATCAACCACCTCCTCCCAGTATCTATATGGTTTAGGGCAGGGGTGTCAAACTCCATTTCATCGCGGGCCGTATCAGCATTATGGTTCCAAGGGCTGGTTGTATCTCTAAGACTAGATGTCCAGAGTACCCCACCCCCATTACGTCAGATGTCAAGAATCCCACACCCTCCCTAACATCACCGTCCACCCCCTTTGGGGGCAGAGCTGGAAAGCAAAAAGTGCAGGGTCTAGAGGAGGAGTGGAGTCAGTTACCAGAGTCTGCTAAATGCTGAGACCAGGGGAGGCAGAGATGAGGGGGTGCTGCAGCTGCACTGAAAGGTGCAGGATTTGGCAGAGGAGTTCTATTCTCCTTTCTGCTGCCGACTGCTGAGACAACGTGGGGGTGGAGACAATGGGGTGGTACCTGCAGGAGAGCTGCAAGGGCCACATGAAATGACCTGGTGGGCCAGTTTCGGCCCGCAGGCCTTGTGTTTGACACCTGTGGTTTAGGGCATCTCCAGAACATATGAATGAAACTTCTGGGCGGATCCCCACACCTGGGGCATGGTGCATCTGGGCATCCCCCAAACACAAATTTGTTTTTTTTAGTGTATAATATTCCCCATGTATAATAAACGATCTGTCAATTTTTGTGATGAGAAGGATATTAAGTCTACAGATTTTAGAATACTATTCCACTGATCATCCAATAACTTTCCCACATCTTCTTTCCCACCTTACTTTACATGGGAGATCCAAGTCCTTTTCCAGTGCTAGTAGATGTATATTAGTATACATCTTTGATATGAGCCCCTTAGTGGAGGTGGCTCCCATTTTTTGGTTAACGGATAAATAAGATTTGAAGGGAGACCCCAGGTGAAAAAGTAAATTCAGATACATAAATGAACTGAGCCAATAAATCCACAAATAGGACCAGTAGCGCTATATACCTGGTGGACTAGTAATAATAGCCCCCACCACACTGTGCTGCTAGCAGTCCACTGGAGAAATGGAAATAAAACACAAGTCTATATGCTGTGCACTGGTTGGAACACGGGTGTCCAAAGATACAGCATAATAATGGAGATCTTGTTTCCAGACAAATGCATAAAGCATAATGGGTGCAGTAGGGAAGCGTTATAACCTCCTTCCAGGGTTTTGTTTTTGCAATCCTATGATTATTATTATACAGGATTTATATAGTGGCAACAGTTTGTGCAGCGCTTTAAAATATAGAGCCTGTACAATTACAATACATTTCAGTACAGAAGGAATAGGAGGGCCCTGCTCCTGAAGCTTACAATCTTAAAGGAAGGGGGGAGGTGGTACAAAAGCTGCAGGGGATGAACTGATGGTGGTTCAAGTACAGTTCTTAGGTGGAGGTTGGGTAGGCTTCCCTGAATAAGTTTTCAAAGATCATCTAAAGGCAGACAGGGTGGGGGCTGACCGGACATACTGAGATAGGGAGTTCCAGAGGATGGGAGAGGCTCTAGAGAAGTCCTGGAGGCGAGCGTGGGAGGAGGTGGAGAGAGAGAGTTGTCTTGAGGAGCAAATTTGGACGATATCTGCAGATGATGTTGGTGATGTAGCAGGGGCGGTGTTGCGGGTGGCTCTATATGTTGTGGTTAGTATTTTTTAAAATTTTATACGTTGGGTTAGTGGAAGACACAAAACAAAAATATTGCATGAGTGGGTACAGGCCATCCCATGAGACAAGTGGTTAATAAGACAGCAGGCAAGGCTTGTATCAGACTTTGGAGAATTAAATGTGTAATGTTGCCTTCAGATCTCGAGGTGGAGCGTGATCCCCTACGTCTTGATCTACTTTTGTCCTCGTCTGGTTGTTAAATCAAAAATATATATTGTATGCATATAGAATTTGTGAAGCTGTAAACTACAATTATAAACGTCGTTCATCACACCCAAAGGGTCGAGCTTTTACAAAATCATATACATATACTATACATGACGTCCACACGTCCACATTGACATTGGTTTTAACTGTATTTTTGTATGTTTACTTGTTAGTTGTGGTCACTGAGCACTGTGTGGTATTCTGTGGTTATAGCGCAAATGATATGCTCTAATTGAATAAATATTTAATTCTCCGAAGTCTGATACAAGCCTTGATTGCTGTCTTATTAACCTTCACTTGTCTCAAGGGATTGGTATGCCCACTTGTGATATTTTTGTATAGTTTTATGGTTTTGACAGCAACACTTTTTAAAATTGAAGAGGCACTCGGTGTTCTTCTACATTACCCTCTAATCTTTGTTGTTTATTTGGTTAGTGGAAGCCAGTGAAGGGATTGGCAGTGAGGGGCAGCAGTCGCTGATCGCTTGGTAAGGTGTACGAGTCTACCAGCAGCATTCATAAGAGACTAAAGGGATAACCTGTGTAACGGTAGACCAGTGAGGAGGGAGTATTATTATTCCCCCCCCCCCCCCCCCCCCCCCCCCCCCCCCACCTATTGCTGTTCTAGTGGCAAGGTTAATGACATTTCTCTAATGTGGACATACCCGCAATAAATGTTTTACCCTTCCCTCACCACAACATCCAAAAAAAAAAAAGTTTGGAGCCCCACATTAAAGTCTTGGGGTTTTTTTTTCTGTAACCTGCAATTAGCTTCTGATTTGGTAAGGGAAGAGCAGTGCCGCAATTGTGGGTTTGTCATTACTGCCCTTCCCCACTCCTATGCTGCATAACGCGGTAAAGAAATAGACCGATTTCTTGTGCCTATAACAGCAGTTTTTACACATCGCAGTCACGTTAAAATATTTGATGGAAACCCCAGTAAGCTTTCAGGATAGTGTGAGTTGAAAATACATCTAAAATGCAAACACACTGATTTCAGTAAGTGTAGTGTTGCCCTGACATATAATGGTGATCAATATTGGTTATCGATAGAATAAAGAGGTGGCTACAGAGCGACTCAAATTTACAGAGAGTTGAAGTTTGCAAATAACTTGAAGTGAATCTGTGCTTTGCAGGACAGAGTAGATATCCACAGACATGTATATAGGTTTTGACAGTATAGACACACATTTACCTTCCTTTCAATCCTTCGCCTGTCTATTCATACAGCGAGAGTGAAGGCAAAGCTCGCATAAGCAATAAGTCATCAGACTCCTAGCTCACTTCTGTCTGGGTACACCCTATGACAGTGTGATGATGCCATCTTCTTCCATACCTGGAAGTACCTGGTACATTTTGCCCCCAGCGCTGAATGAGGGAAAAGCAAAACTGTAAGTATAAACTGCTATGGATAAGGGAATAAAGCAGACCTGTTGCTTGACCCTAAATGGCCAAACCACAAATGTTCTCTAAGCTGCCACTGTCTCTTGGCTTCCTTGAAGGTAGTATCATCTGCTTTTTTTTATCAGGTTGAAATGCCTGAATGTGCAGAACAGCTATTCAAATTTATTTGCTTTTAATTTATATTTTCTTTTAATAACACTTATGTGATCATTTTGGAGACCAGTAATCCCTGTAATTAAGCCTAATAAACTGAATTGCTTTTTTTTTTTTTCAGCTTACTGGAGGTTCTGGCTCTGTGTAAGTGTGGTGTATGAGCTTTTTCTCATCTTCATTCTTTTTCAGGTGAGGAATATGGTTTGAACTTTGGCTGATATTACTCTCTTGTAATAGTTTGTTTTGTAGTTGAAGTTTAACTGTAATTTAACTTTCTCCAGGATACAGTGACCATTATGTAAAAAATACTTACTGCATTTGTGACCTAAGACTGTACACTGCACACTGTGAGCTTCTCACACTATGCTTTAGAAGCTGCAGGAAGTCAGAGCCCACTTCATTTCCAGGCAGATGAATGTCCAGCATCATCTAGTTTATTCCTCCCAAGCCTGACTGCCCCTGGCCTGCTGCTTTTAGAGCTCTTGCACATGGCCGTACAGAATAAAATATGCTTGTTGTGGCGGGGGGAACACAGCCGCCGCATGTTTTTGCCCACCAAGCTGCAGTACAGAAAATGTAGTGCACAGCTATATGCACTTAACTGTCAGTACTCACGTTTTACATGCCAGGTGATTCACTGTATTCAACATAACTTATATAATGAAAATGTTTTAGTTGAAATTGAATTAGTACATTGATTGAAGTGGGGGTTGGAGGGGAGGAACCAGGAAGGACAAAATATAAGCAGGTTAAACCTCCGCTTTAAAATGCTATGTTCACAAGCTGTCTAAGGTTTCTTCTTTAGCTGTTTGTTTTCTGTTATGTCTCATTCTTTATTAATCACAAATGTTGCCTATAGAAAGCATTTTACTATATCCATGGGGACCACTGATCTTGTATTATATAGGCTTTTGTGTCTCCATACACATAATAGAGGCTTCCGTGGTTACATTTAGATAACCTAATCCCCCTATTGATCATTTTGATGGGTGGAAATAATGGGAAATACAGCCTTATGCTATCATGCCTTGTAGCTGTATGGTTTGTATTTGTCTTGCATGTTGTTAGGCAGACAGCTTAAGTGATTGTAAAGCTACACACATTCTTTATATTTACCTGCTCTGCAATGGTTTTGCACAGAGCGGCCCCAAACCTCCTCCTCTTTTCGGGTCCCCGCTGTCACACTTCGCTTCTGCTCTTCCTCTCTGATGGCCGCTTCCTATGGGGTATGCTTGCTCTCTCTACTCACAGAATTTTGTTGACCACAGCAGAAGCCAATGACTCCTGCTGCCGCCTCTGTGAGCAGAGAGGAGCGAGCTGCTCACAGGCACAGTGCTGTATGGAGAAAGGACTGGGGTAAGTATAAAGGGGGATGAAGGGGAGATGGACACTGGGACATTTTTTACCCTAATGCAGGGAATGCAAATTTTTTTGCTACCAATATGCAATATGTGCATATTTATGTGGCACTGATGGGCACTGGCAGGTGGCACTGATGGGCATTGACAGGTGGCATTGCTGGGGCTACAATGATCATCAGGGCACACTGATTATCACTGCCTCTGATGATCAGTGTACATATCCACTCTGAGTAATGCCGATTACCAGCTCTCCTCTCCTCAAGAGCTGTCAGCGTGACAGCTCGTGAGGAGAGAAATGCCGATAACCGGCATTTCCTTATTTACATGTAATTGGCTGTGATTGGACACAGCTGATCACGACAGAGCCAACATCTTCGGCTCTTTCCATTGATCAGTGATTCGCTGCATCCCAGGGACATAGCGCACCACCGATCGGTCATATGACGTCCTCCCAGAACGAGAGAACTGCCTTGCACCGTCATTTCCTTATATGGCGGGCAGGAGGCAGTTAAAGTGGTAGTAAGCTCTTTGAAAACAAACAAAAAAAGTTTCCCCCAGCAAGGCAAAGACATAATGTGCTAGTATGCATTGTATACTAACACATTACAAAGCCCTTCAGTGGAATTCTGCCACCACTGTAGAGGCTTTCATCTTCACCCAGTTTTCCTTCCAGGTTCATGGGCTGTGGCCGCTTGAATGACCAATCCCATGCATGCACTCAGGAGTCTCAACTGCGGCACATAGTTCTGAAAGAACGGCACAGGTATGATATTCCTTCACAGCGCTTGTGCCAGTAGCATCACCGGCTGCTGCTCAATAGAATATCTCCTAAACAGTGCACGTTTAAGAGATATATTCATTTTACCTACAGGTAAGCTTTTATTATAAAGTTACCTGTAAGAAAAATAAACAGAGTTTACTACCACTTTAATTCTTTGTTTAGGACACACAAAACTTGGGAAGCCAGAATCTGGAGCACTTGTGCATGGCAACTAATCAGCTTTTGGGTTTCATTTTCAAAGCTTAACTGAACAAGCTGAAGATAGAAGCTGATTGTTGTCATTCACAGCCACTCCAGATTTTTTTTTCTGGATAAAATTCATTATATTTCTAATGCAGTTTAATTACTGTACAGCGGATAAAGACAAGGCTGCTTTTGTGGCCGTCTGTAGTTTTGGGTGTGATAGGCATGCTTTCAGCAATACAGCTTGGGTAGGCCAGTATAAGATACATGTAAATGAATGTGCACAAAACGTTTTTCATAAACCTGCTTTAAGCTGGGTCACAAAGGTGATTGTTGCTTGGTACGCCGAGTTCATAAAAGTGCGATTATACACAATTGTTAGTGATTGAAAGCAAATGGGGGGGGGGGGGGGGGGTGACAAAGATCAATGGCCATGCATCCTGTTTCTCACTAAAGGAAATATAGCTTTGCACTGTTATTTATGTTTTCAGTATCTTGAAAAAGGTGGTTTTTTTTGGCATTGAGCAATCTCTATTCTATTATTAGGAGGACATTATGGCCTATTTAAAGTAATAGACAAACTTTTCTTTTAATGGCCATATTTGTGCAAGGTCTGTGCCTGAAAAAGATATTTTAAAGTCTAACTCCACCTTGTAGACCATGTTAATTTTACACCCACATTTACCTAAACATTGTGACTTTAAGCTGAGTACACACTGTTTTTTTTTTTTTTTTTTTTTTGTTTTTTTTTTTTCTTTTGTCGTTTAACCAGTAGGTTGAATGAAACAAAACTGGTGGATCCCTGCATCAACACGGGCAATGTTGATGTCGCAATCTCTCTCCCTGTGTCTTTGTATTCTATTGGCTGATCAGATGCTGGTTTTCCAGCACTTCCCTTTGACAAAAGTCGTTCATTAGACTGGCTTCTATCAGACAGCTGTACACACTGACCAAAAGTCTCCAGCTGATTTGTGGCCAGTGGGTACCCAGCTTTATTCACAATAGAACATATTGGAGCATGTGCTCCTGCCTTGCGGTCAGTTTTGTAATCATGTGACTAAGAATACGCAGGAGCTTGCTTTCATTACCTGTCATGTAGTCCAGTGGAGTTTATAGGTTGGTTATGGTACATATAATCAATCACCTTTGTGCACCTCTCTCTAGCAATATTTTTTATAATTTTCTGCTGGAGTGGAATTTCTCAGCTGCTAGCCTCTTGTTCTTAGTAGATCTTGAAGACCTGAATCTTTCACTAGTCAGGTTGTCCCTTAGTCTTTGAACTATATAATAGCTGACTTAATGGGTTTAAATATTTAAATGAGTAAAGTAGTTAGGCTTTAGTGAGAGTCATTAAACGTTTATTGTGTCACTGGCTGTCCTATTTATTGCTTTCCTTGTTCTTAGACTTGAAATGGTGTCTATTTTATTTTGATAACTGCAATAAACTGACAGTAAATGACGTACAAAACAGAAAAGGGTTGGTCTGTAACAGTTTTTTTTTTTTTTTTTTTTTTTTTGGTTAGAGAAGTTGATTTAGACTAGCATGTTTTAGTTATTGGGCAGAATGGGAAATAATTGTGCACATGTAGAGGCCATTCACCACCTCCTATGGTGTCATTCCATAACTGGTCAGACCAGAAAGATGTTGCTCTGTCTCCTTGGCAGTTTGAGGGTGACGTCCATTAGAAAAAGTGACAGTTGCACCTCTGACCTGGTGTTGCTGGCAAGGTGTCACCAGTAGCAGAATTGTCCACATGACATGGCCCCAGTTTGTTAGCAATTTAGCCTTTCGTCTTTGGGGTCCCTGGGTTATATTCCCTGTAGTTTATATGTTTCCCTGTGCCTGCTTGTGTTTTTTCCTTTTGCTGCTTTGGCAGGTTAGTGACATACTGGTTGGTTAAAGGATAGGCTCAGCTTTAGCAACATGTTATATGTTACACTCATATTTAGGGTGTATAACATATAATATGTTAATATGCAGCAGCCCCCCTCATCCCTTGAGTTCCTCCATGTGATAGCGGGCAGGGGTTCTTCTGCGCCCACACAACTGCACCATTCATTCACAGATATCTGTGACTGAAACTACTACAAGTCCCAGGTGACACCACAGCAGATGGCTTGTCATTCTTAATGGACTAAGAGTGCACTGATCAGAATACTCATAGTGCATTGACACTTCTCCAGCTTTTAAACTGAAAGTCTGTACATAGGTACAGGCAGAAAGCTGGATTGGGTGTCTGCAGGAGCCTGACATTGCACCCCCAATCCACTAGTCATGTGTGCAATGCTTTGCAGGGTCCTGTGTAAAAATACATAAATGCACATTTTACCTCCAAAAACATGTGCATTTATTTTACAAAGGTGAACTTATCCTTTAATGAGGTTTCCTCCCAAATTGACTCCAGTGTATATGTGAGTTGGAATAGACAATATATTGTGAGCTGTTTCAGGGACGTTGATGTAATTCAATCTATATACTATGTTGGTGCTATATAAAATTAAACAATAAATGGTGGATGCCAGCATTTTGATTCATACACTCCACTTTGAAAATAAAATATACTCAATTTTTGCTCCTGCAGACTGTACATGATGGGAGACAGTTCATGAAGTATATTGACCCCAAATTGGGTGTTCCTCTCCCAGAAAGAGATTATGGCGGAAATTGCCTTATCTATGACCCTGGCAATAAGACTGACCCTTATCACAACCTATGGGTAAGTTTATCCTTACTATGCTGTGTGCGTTTTAATTACTACTGTGTTTTATGATATAGGTTTGTAACTTTATTTTCTCACTTATTCTATTTAGTGATTTGGCTATATTTACCTTTCATTGTTAGGCCTCCCATACACAGACCTTGTTCAGTCTTTGCTGGTAGTGCATCAGCTTCAATCGAGATTGAGCAAATATCAGATATCTTTTATCTTGAACCTCTGGCTTCATTGCTCTCTGAATCACTGCTGCTGATTGATTGGGAATTCTGAATTCACTGCTTGATATACCGGTTCTAGATTAGTGATTGAGATTGTTGGAAGACAAAGATGGCCAAGCAACTAGAGGTCAGAAGTACATTAATGTCTTTTAGGAAAGGCTTCCTAAACCACCCTTGCTCATTAGTCTGGGAGAGTTGGATAGTATTAAATAGTGTTACAAATTAAGTTATGTACAGTATCTAAACCCAAGAGGAATTTACCTTGAGATCCTTCCAGTAACAGACTTTCTGTACTAGGTTGATATCACTCATTCCCTGTGCTGTACCTGTGAAGCAGCAGAATTGTTGGACTACAAAACAACTCCTGCTTCATAACAGGGGAGGAGATGTTCTCTAGTTCGCACAGATGACCAGGTCAGGACTGATAACACTGCTTGGGATTTCAGTGCAGCAGAGTGTGTAATAAGTTTCGAGCTCCCTTGATTTGTGGTAGGATCAATGGTATTTTTTTTGCACTTATCGAGCATATATTTTATTGGTATATTTAACCAATCAAAAGGGAGCAAAGTAGAACATTTTGTTAGGGTTTTCAAACACTTTAAGTGTAACTGCCCTGTTGGATTCATTATTACTGGTTTCCCCAACCTCTGAAAACATGCCAGTATATGATGGGTTGCCTTTTTTGTATATTATGTAAAATGTTTAGTACACCTAGGGGACTATTTAACACCACCTGCCTGCTGCAGCCATCACAGGGTCTTAAATTGGAGCTAAACCCTCCTATCCTTTACACCTTTACAACCACGAAAGCTGGCATTTTACCCTCTGATTTGCAGTTGCCCTGGTGCTGCATGCGTGATCAGCTATGACATCAGCCATTTGATAACTTGACAGTTCAATTGAGAGTACAAGCATCGGCATGTCTTGAATGTAACTGCTGTAGCTTTGAGAAGGGAAGGACTGGACTTCTGCAAGGGAGAATGTCACCAGCACACCGAGGATCACCAATATGGGTCCAAAAGTTTTAATAAACGATCATATAGTTACAGCAAGGCAATGTTTGGGAGTCTCGCAGGACCCCTTCATCAGGCGTGTAACAAATTGTGACAGAAACTGGAGAACTATTTAAGAAAACCATCCACCAATCAGAGTGAAGTGAAATGAGCCTAGTCCCGCCCCATGATGTCACGTTTCCTCCAGAAATGCATTCAGATCAATGTTGGAGGGAACATGACAGTTTTTGAAATACTCAGACCAGACCGTTGTCAGGGCAGGGCTGTGGAACGGACAGGTAGGCCTAGTGGCAGGGTAACGCACTGGCTGACGACAACCACCACCAACAGACTGAAGTCCCTCAGGGCGCGGAGTCTAAGTCCCAGGCTGCCCTTCACCAGGGCCCATGATGGTGGGGATGGACTTGACGCAACCAGGAACCAGGTCGCGGCCCCCGAGACACCCCAGCTGCGGTAATGGCCGCCGCCAATGGCGTGTAGCTGGTGAGAATGACAATAGCGTAGTCAGACAAGCCGGGTCAATAACAACGGGACAAAACAGTACAGAACAGTAGACAGAGAATCACAGGTCACGGGCCGGGTTCAGCAACGGAAGGTCAGATCAAAGGGAAACACAGAGAATGGTCTTAGTACAAGCCGAGTCAGAATACCAGAAGAGTCACGAGCGTATACACAGAGCTGTAGCAAGACCAAGACACAAGACACAAGTGCAAAGAGCATGTGCAGATCCCAGGCTTATATGTACTCAGCCACACCCCTCTGGGGGATGGACCTCAGAGGCCTGAAGGCATAAAAGATTCCCATCATGCTCAGCAGAAATCCAAGATGGATGCTAGCACATGGAGTAACAAAACCTCTGGGAAAAGGTAGGACCTTGACAACCGTCTATCACAGACAACCGTGTCACGTTCAAAGTCACTTAAATCCAGTTTCCTCCCAATTCTGATGCTTGGTTTGAACTTCAGCATGTCTAGATACCCTAAATGCATTGAGTTGCTGCCACGTGATTGGCTAGTTAGCAGTTTGTGTAACCAAGCAATTGAACAGGTATACCTAATAAAGTGGCCAGTGAATGTAGAGCCATCTTCCAGCATGCATACAGATGTTTCAGGTTTGTTTACTTTGCTCTTAAATGTCAGTGCTATAAACCAGCCACAAAAGCATGCATGTGTGTTTTTGCTGAATCAGTTTTTTTTTTTAAGCGGATCTAAACCCTCCTATCCTTTTTCAGCCAAGGAAGCAGCCATCTTGACCTTTGTTTGATCTGCAACTGCCATGGTGCTATACATGTGATCATTTATAAAATCACCAGTCATTTGATGGTTTGTCAGTTTGGTTGAGAAAAAAAAGGAAATGTGACAGCATTCCAGGCATGCCAGGAATGTAACTGTTTCATAAAACCGTTAAAGCGAAGGGTTTAGTTCCCCTTTAAATGGCACTATTGTCAAAATAGGAACTCCCTATCTCCCCATTATTTAAAAAAAAAAAAACTTTTTCTCAAGGTTGACTACACATTTAAAAACCTAAGTGCTTATTGGTGGTATAAGTGGTGGGGTGGAAGTTCAGCCTGTGCTCATGTGCCCCAGCTTTTGCATACGTGCCCAGCACTCAGAAGGTGTCTAAAGCTGTCTAAAGTAGCATTTTCTCTGGAAATAGTAAGCATAGCGAAGTTGCTCGCATTTAGTGTTTTTTTTTTTTTTCTGCTGGGAAAACGCTTCCAAAAACTCTACAAAAAAATATTTTTTTCTGCTCTGAAATGCTGAAGCTTGAAAAACGATTCTAGTATAAAAAATACACCAAAAAGGTTAGTGCTTGCTATACTGTACATGAACATACTTTTTAGTAAGCCAACCTTACTGTACTAAAAAAAAAATTTTTTTTTTTTGTTCACTTATCTTATATTCCATTTTTGGGGTTTTCACTAGCTGTAAGCCATAATCATGGAAATTAACAAAAATAAATTCTTGAAATATATCACTCTGTGTGTAATGAATCTATATATAATATATGAGCTTAATTTTTTCAGTAATTCAATTCTGAAAAAAAAGTTAACTATTTGATGATATTCTAATTTATTGGGATGCACCTGTAGTGTGCATGGATACCTAGGATAACACATCACATCTAGGGGCTTGAAAAGACATTAGTGTGCATGGAGCCTAAAGCCATTGTTTACAGGTAACTGATGAGCTGTAGAGGTGTTGCAGGCACAAGCAGATTTGGGGCCTGACATATTTAGGTATCTATTTACTTGACACAGTCTCCTCTTTTATACTTTACAAAACATTTGGAGATCTTATTGTGTTTTAATGTAGTAAAAAAACAATTTTTGTGTAGTATTTTACTGATGATAATACAGGTCTGATAAACATGTAGACTGGTTGTAAAGGCTCAGGGTTTTTTTTTATCTTCATGCATTCTTGCTCCTTTCTCAGCCCCTCAAATACTTTTCTTGAGTCCCATCGCAGTCCAGTGATGTGCACGAGACCCACTGCTCTCCAGGGGCTCTCTTTTCTCATTGGCTGAGACAGCAGCAGGACCCATTGGCTCCTGCTGCTGTCGATAGCAGCTAGTGAGCCAATGACAGAGAAGGGGCAGGGCCAAGCTGCAGCTCTGTGTGTTAATGATCTCTCAGAGCAGCAGCTCGGGAGCAAACCTGCTTGGGTATCCCCATTGCAAGCGGGGGGGGGGAGGGGGGGGGGGGGGGGGGGGGGGGGGGGGGGGCCATTTAGCAGACCCAAAAAGAGGAGGTTCGGGGTTGCTCTGTGCAAAACCACTGCACTGCACAGAATAGGTAAATGACACATTTTGGGGTTTTTTGGGTTTAAGCTTACATTTTACTATTGCTTTAAGCAAATATTGTGCAACATAATATTTTGCAGCTACCATGTTTTTGTTCTTCAAGTGTTCTGCTTTCTGAAAATGTGCACATTAGAATGTGTTTAAAAATAAAAAAAAGTCAGGCAGCGAAAGAGGGCAGAGCAGGGTACTAATTTTCTTATCAACCCTTGTTGTGTGATACTAGCAGTTAAATGGTTAATACCTTCTGTTTTGAATAAAGATATTCTCTCATAATATAGAAGCAGAATCAAGCAGTCACCCATTTCAAGTGATTTTTAGCATGCGGGAATTGAATAGTTTATCACAATTTTTTGGCAGTGCCATTAAATGACCTTTCGACTCATTGTCTGCAGTACATACCCTATGCCACTTTAGATTCACTGGCAATCTGCAGGGTTCAAGTGTGACATTCCACATCTGGAACGCATTGCAGACAGTCCAAGCTTGGATTAGAAAGGATTGCAAAGGATTTGTGTCATCTCTATACTCTTGTAACAAAATGACAAGCAAAAGATAAGTAGTTTAAGCAAGTACATAATGTGTTAACCTAACTGTGGTTGTGAAAGTGTGAATTGCTCGTTTCCCAAAAGCCACAGCTTCCAGATACGCCTTCTTTATTTTTAGAACCTTCCGGAAAGAAAGGATGAACCTGAAATTAAAAGCATAAATTTATATCTGGCCGGTATAGATGCTTATAAAATGATGCTGATGGGCTTATAAAATAAGCTTCATTGTGCTGCATAAAGTAGTTAATTAAAAAATCTGCTTTTGCAGGTCTGCTGTCACAGATTATTGCTTACACAATGTCTGAGATTAAAATGTTTTTCATTTGTAATGCGTTTTAAAAAGGGATCAGACTAATGTGTTTTTAAATCTCATAACATGTCAAAACACTGAATAGATTTGTAATACCCATTTAACATGGAGATTTTACATTTTTCATTTGATCTCTTAGGTCTTGCTATCTACAAATTCGTTGTTCCTTGTTCTTAGTTCCCTGTAACAGATGGTCCTTCTTTGGGGGATCATACTTTGAGCCGGGTTCCTGACCTGGGCACCTTTGGGCATTACTTAGGTGTTGTAAGACCTTCACGTCTGGGAAGGTTTGGTAGTTCTCCCCACGACAGGACCAATGGCCTGGTCACTATGCTGAACAGCACTGAGAGCAATACTCTCTACCATGCTGCCGTTCTTGGAGACTGCATTACCAGCTATGGTTTTCCTCAGTCAGTACTCTACACACAGAAGGGAGAGTTTTGCACACCTCATTTCCTGCATGTTAGGAAGAGCTCATTGCTGGATGGTTCTGCTCCTCTGGGTTGTTGACAGGCAGAACTTGCTGGGGTCTCAATGCAAGTACACCATGTTGGTGATAGAGTACATCCAAAGGTCTTTATGAAACTTGATCTCCTGGAGATAGGTCCTTCTTCCATGCCTGATCTACAGCCTCTTGAGAATTTCCTCCAGATCTTTTATCAGTTTTGTCCTAATTCAGGGAACTGTTCACAGGCTAAGGTTCTTGCTCCTCACTCTATGGCTGTGGATAGTTTTGTGCATCAGAGCAGGTCAGATGATTTTAAGAACCATGTTTTGAATCAAGGTTAGACAGATTGTACAGAATTACTCTGTTGGGCCCAAGAGACACTTCTGTGTGTTTAAGTAGATGGGCCTTTGCTCGTCCTCTTCTTGTTGACCTGCACAAGTCAGGGGATGCAGTATATCTTCATCCCTGCCTGCCCTTGTAAGGATTTTTCACACACACCTACTCCTTTTCTTTAGCCACGCTAACTTCATGGTAGGTACCACTGGACCTTCTATCAGTCTTAAGGTGTTTCTAAACCCAGACCCCAACAACATTTTAAAAGCTGGACTGTCAGTCACCATTCTCTGCTCCCCCCCCCCCCCCCCCCGCACTCACTGGAGCACTGGGCTGTGGAGGGAGAAGCTGGCTCAGGCTCTCAGGGCCTTGCCAAAAGGCTGAGGCAGGTGCCGCTCCAGACTCTGGGGTGGATCCAGACTTTACAGTCGGGATCTTTCCCCAGTCTGGACTGGCTGAGTGATGTTAGCTGACAGAGGGCTTCAGCCTGCCCTTAGCTGAAAATGGGTCACAGAAGTGCAGAACAAACTGTACACCTGTGGTACACAGGAGAAGTACATCAAAAAGAGCTTTGGCTGTACTTCTCCTTTAAAGTAGAACTTTAGTCAGAAAATTAACTCCTGCTAGATCACTTCAGGCTGGCCCATTATGCAGTTATATCTATGTAAAACATTAAAAATAAGTGCATATACAGTAATACACTGTCTCACCCTTCTCTGCACATGCTCAGTTGCGCTGTGCCGAACATTTAGAGGCTGATTTGTTAACAGCCTAAAGATTTACTGCTGCTCAGGAGCTCTTGGCTTTAGCAAAATGGCAGCCTCCATCAAGAAAAAAAAAGGAACTGCGCTAGAATAAATTTACAACACACACTAATTTTGGTAACATAAATATTAATGTGGAATGTATGTTTCTTGCTAATAAACATTATTCTTTATCAAGTTGTTATGGGTAAAGTTCTATTTTAAACACATTTACTTTGGAATGTACGACATAACTGGCAAAAGCTTGTCCTTGGTTTGCCAGATATGAGGGCAGGAACTCTTATGAAACAGGGTTGTATGTAGGTCTTGTTAATCATTGCTGTTAGTTTGAAATACCCCAGCATATCTGACACCCTATATTCTCAAATAGTACTTTTTGTGTTTATGAAAGGTAAAGCTATTTGACAGCTTATGCTTCCGCAGAGCTAGCAGAATTGAAATTTGCCGTAGTTCACACTATTTTAATTTGCAGTTTACATTACAATTTGTTTTTGCTGTTTTTCAGGATAAGATGGATGGCTTTGTACCTGCACACTTTCTTGGTTGGTACATAAAAGTAAGTGGCTAGATGCACTTATTGGGGGTACTACTCTTTGAAAAGCAATACATACTGTATATAAGATAAATGTATATATTTTTTTTTACTTTAATTTATTTTGTGTAATCATATGGGATGGATATGTTTGTACAGAAAATTAAAGAAGGAAGAGGGGCACTGGACTAAGTGCAGCATTAAATTAACAGTTTTATTGGTAAAAACGACAATTGGCAACTCACAGGAAGGAAAATTAAAAAGAGCATATCACCAAACGTAATCGAGGCTCCCGGGAGCAGCAGAGGGCAAGTGGTGTCCATGCATCCGATGTGGACAGGGAGGGTATCCTGAAGGGGCCGGCCGCTGCAAGGAACCAGAGTGGACCGCAAATAGCGCCGGGGCGGATGTGACTTAAGCGAAGGAACGTGATGACGTGGGTGGGCGGTAACGCATTTCGAAGCTGCAGCTTCTTCCTCAGACCTTCCGCTTGCCCTCTGCTTCCTCCCAGGAGCCTGGACTACGTTTGGTGATATGCTTTTTTTTAATTTTCCTTCCTGTGAGTTGCCAATTATCGTTTTTACCAATAAAACTGTTAATTTAATCCTGCACTTAATCGGGCGCCTCTCTCTTCTTCTTTTTTTTTTTTTTTTTTTTTCATGCACAGAGTTCAGCTTTGCTGTAAGGTAGCTGCTGCTGATTCTGCTTTTTGCTTATGTACTCTCATTGTGAATGCTAATGTTCTCTCACATGGACTTTTATTGGACTTTATGGACTTTTATGTAGTTACATTATACCCCTCCAGTGGCAAATTTCTAGTACAGAAAATAGAAACTGTATCCAAATTCATACAAATAGCATTTCCGATGGGAATTTGAACAAAGGAACCTAGAAGTGAAAAACACTTGCCACCATGGCATTAGATCTGTAATACACAGGAAAGGAGGACATTTTACTAAAGAAGTTGAGAATCTTCACTCCATAAATTCGCTTCAGATATTCAGTCCTGTGAAAAGCATGATTGGGTGTTCAAAGTGGCCAGAAATGTGTTTTTCACGTAATTGGAAAATTAAAGTAAACCACCTAATTTTTGGGGCGAAGATTCTCAACTTCTTTACTAAATTAGTCAGTTATTGTGTTGAGCACTGCAGCCCAGAAACTCAATTCTTCTTTATAGGAAGCAGTGACCTGCCATAAATGTGAGCAGTCTCCCAGTGCAGTAGGTGTATCTGTTACTAGTATGTGTTGGAAGGTCTTCAGGCATTCAAAGTAGAGGAAGGTTGAGAGTTTCACTTGCACAGTACTGTCATTTCGAATCATTTATGTAGTAAAGTCCTCATTGCTGGTGCCAGTGTGTGAATAGAAGTACTAACCATCTTGAATTGTGCCTGAACTGACATGTCTATTTCTTGTCCACTCTTAGACACTAATGATAAGAGACTGGTGGATGTGTATGATAATCAGCGTAATGTTTGAGTTCCTGGAATACAGCCTGGAGCACCAGTTGCCCAATTTCAGTGAATGCTGGTGGGATCATGTAAGTGGGAATGATTCAGCCATTTTTTCCCTCACCTACATACTGCTCTGTTTAGTATATTTGAAAATGTTTGTTTCATTGAACCTGTATATTTAATGATCCATAAGCCAAAAAAAAAAAAACATTCATTTTACTGGTGGGTTTTTTGTGTGCTGCCATTTTCAGTGGCACACAATGTACTGTTTTTGAGCTCCTTTTCACATCTCAAGACTATTGCTAGCCATACACGGAGTGAATTGCGTCTGGTTCCTGATTAACTGAAAATAATTTGCTCCATGTATTGCCATGCCAGCTTTATCCCTCAATTTAAAAATGCAAAGGAGCCAGGTGGTAAGTTGTCAGCCAAATATCACCTGCATTCAGTAAGATGCAGGCACTGTTTTAGTATACTGACAGCTGGCAGGGCAGAATGCCAAAATACAATAGTCGCAGTGAGAGATTCATTCATCCACACTTTGTAAGTCAATGGGGAAAGTGTTTTTTTTTTTTTTTTTTCCTTCATTAGTCCTTAAATCTATGTGTAAATGTGTATGCCCCGCTTTATGACCTGACACACTCATTAAAATAAAATGCACTTTCCTATGTGGTTGGTATCTTAATGGTTTTTAAACTGTGAGGTGGTGCAATGATAGTTGCAAATCTACGAATCGTTACCTACTATTGTACAGTAACAAGCACAGCAACAACTTAACGTTTGTCTCCACTAACAATTTGTATTTAATTTCCCTCTAAGATACCGCCAGCAGTCCTTTAGGAGTGGTTCACACTAGGAGTGCAGTTCTGTGTGGTGCAGCTTCATTCTGAATGGGCTGAAATTGTACTGCACCGCACCAAAAGTAGTGTACGCACTACATTTGGAAACACTACAACCGTATCTCATGGGCAGAAACACTGTGTGTGTGTGTGTGTGTGTGTGTGTGTGTGTGTGTGTGTGTGTGTCCTGCGTTTTGTGTGTTGTTACCTTGCGCTGATCCCCGTTGGAGATCACGAGGGCAGTGCGTTTGCATGCGGTGCGGGACACCCGCATGGGACGTGGGTTTTCCTACACCAAGTTCTAGTGTGAACGGGCACTTAAAGGATACTTGAATGCTTATATTGTTACTTCGTAAATAGATTTGCTTTAAAGTGGGTAGCTCACTAAAATGCTTCACATGAAGGAACAGCACAATTGTCCAGATTATCAAATCACATTACTTTTCATTACAAAAAACATCTCTGAGGTCTAAATTTAGTAAAGAAATTAGTGTCAGCCTAAGCCGACTAGGTCACATGGCTCCTGTCTGCCAATCACTAACAGCAAGTGTTTTCTGATAAAAGTATCAAAATGATAAATTCATGTACTTGGATAATTACAAACCGTACACTGAGACAATGTTTTTGCACATTAACTCAAGTGAAAGGATGAGTTTACCTTTTGTTACAGGTTACACCCATACTCGGGATGTAACGTAACATGTTACTGTAGCACTGGCCTCCGCAACAACCTCTTCGCGAATGAGGCCTGGCTGCGTCATTCATTAAGAGTTGTGTGAATGGGAAACTGCAAGTACCAAGGGCCTTTGCGGCGCTGTTGAGTGCTGTGGGAGTTCATTGATTCTTCCTGTCAATGTGAAACTGCTTGCCCGTAAGATGTACAAGCAGACATATTACACTGATAGTTTGCAGGAGTCCTGCATGGCACCAGCAATCTGATGATCGCTGGTACAATGCTTTCAAGGCTCCTAAAAGAAATATAATAAATGCACATTTCTTTAACCTGCAGAAAAAAGTGCATTTATTAATTTTTTTTCTTTTAAAGTGAACTTCTTTAATCTAAAATGTCGTATATAGGCGGGCGCTAGAAGTAAATACGGAGCAGCTAGCACACAGGTAAAGGTAACCACTCCTTATAAAAATGTGGTATAAAGTGCAGCGCTAAATTAAATTATTATTAAATAATGAATGCATAAAGATAACTTCTTATAAAAAAAAAAAAATGGGGTATAAAGTGCAGTGTTAAATAAAAAATTAATATAATATTGTGAAACAGTCAAGGGCAGCGTATAAGGTGAAAATCAATATAGTCCATATATAACAATGAATGATGTCCGTGGGGCTGTGTTGCTGCATCCTGATATCTCGGAGCCTCTATCCTGCTCGCCAAGTACCCTGACTGAAAACAGGAATGGTGAGCTATATTCCTATGAGAGATCCCATCTTCAGTTTGCCTGTGGCGGAGCAGTCTATGCTAGAGGCTTCTGGTTGTTTTCCATCCCCTGATGTGATAAACATGCTATTTTACCAGTAGCTTTCTGGTGAGTGTACATCTGGCAAAGGCGGTGGATTCCCTCACTGGATCATTTCACAGTTTATCCTTCACTGTGGTTGCTGTGCCTTGTAGTCCCACGGACATCATTCATTGTTATATATGGATTATATTGATTTTCACCTTATACGCTGCACTTGACTGTTTCACAATATTATATTAATTATTTATTTAGCGCTGCATTTTATACCACATTTTTATAAGGAGTTGTTACCTTTTATCTTTGTGCATTATTTATTATTAATTATTTATTTAGCGCTGCACTTTATCCTTTAATCTGTTGTGTGTTTCTGAAAGAAATTGAATCAAGATTACAGTTTTTTCTTTAACCATCAAACAAATACTTGAGTGAAATCACCTCCCCTTTTTCTTCTTATGTCTAGGTCTGTGAAATTTATAGTGATTTTAATATGTTTTATGTGTAAACTGAAATATAAAGGCACTTTTCATTTTGTGTTCCCTTAAAGTGGATAATGGACGTTCTGGTTTGTAATGGATTTGGAATTTACTGTGGTATGAAGACCCTTAAGTGGCTGTCTATGAAACCTTATAAATGGCAGGGCCTGTGGAACATTCCAACATACAGGTTTGTGATTTCATGTATATTTGAAGTTTTCAGATACAGAACACAGAGTTCCCTGTATTAAGCTAGAGGAGTGATGGCGAACCTTTTTGAGCCCGAGTGCCCAAAACTGCAACACAAACCAACTTTTTTATTTCAAAGTGCCAACACTGCAATTAACCACTTGCCTACCTGGACGCATTGACAGACGGCACTGATCGGTGGCACTGCTGGGCAGCACTGATCGGGGTGGCGCTGCTGGGCGGCACTGCTGGGCAGCGCTGACTGGGCGGCACTGCTGGGCAGCGCTGGCACTGCTGGGCAGCGCTGACGGGTGGCACTGCTGGGCAGCGCTGACGGGTGGCACTGCTGGGCAGCGCTGACGGGTGGCGTCGGTGTGGCTTCCAACCCAGCAGCTCATTCCCATCCACGCTGAACACGTTGCACCTGGCCCCGGAGCAGTGTGGGAGCCTCTTCCTCTCTTCCGCGCCCATCCCCGGGTACATCACCCCTGGTGCCAGAGCCGCATTGGAGCCGTTTCCTCTCGTCCCACGCCCACCCTGGCCCCAGAGACATGTGGGAAATGTAGTTTGATGGGGATCCAGTGTGGACGAGATCTGGATGGCCGGTCCATGCGCGCTCATCATCCTCTTCTTCCTGGCGTGCCCACTGAGATGGCTCTGGCACGCGTGCCATAGGTTCGCCATCACTGAGCTAGAGGGAAGAAAACATGGGTGTTCTCCATCTAGAGTCCAGTGAAATGGCAGTTAACATAATCTTACATGCTAGAATGACCGCTAAAGTCTGTTTGATTAAGAAACTCCTTTCCTTTTCTTCAGTAGAATGTAGTGCGAACAACTTCTCTTGTTTTTTATTTTTAAACCCAGCTCAAAGAAAACTAAAATCTCCCTTACAATGGAGCCGCCCTCACACTGTGCAGTTTGACTGCTCGTTTGTCTAGGGGAGGGAAAAAGCACTTTTACTTACTTGGCCTCCCCTCCCACCATTTAATGGTGCTTTCCCTTATACTTTGGCAGTCGACTGTCCCTCAGCATTCTCATGTCCAATGCAGGGCTATGGTCCCTACATCGGTCTTGATGGTATAGGACCACCAGAGGTGGAGAGAAGAGGCTGCTTGGTCTGGTCTAGCAGTGCGAGGAAGCCTATGGTAGTGAAAGATCAGGTAAGAAAAAGTGAGTTGCCTGATCCCCTAGACATAAACAAGCATTAAACCCTTAGGGCTTGCTGATACTAGCTTCAAAACAAGGCATTGGACACTTTTTTTTTTTTTTTTTTTGTAGCACTCTGAACGCCAGTCAACGCACTTGCCACTAAATAAAATGTTTCGCTTACAGTCCTGTTTACATGTTGCGTTTGCTTTTCCTTGCTTTGCCTTGCTTCAAAAATTATACCCCATGTCGCTTTAGTGGTTCATCAAAGCCTCCATAGAAGTCTATGACAATGCTCTCTTACGGCATCTGCAATTTTGAGAGGCTTTTGTTTAGCTTTGGCATTGCTTTGTTTTGGAGGTATTGCAGGTATGATATATCAATACACACACAAGGCATCTGCCAAGCTTCATTTTTAAAGCTTAAAAAAATCACCACTGAAGCGTCATCAAAGCATCAAAAACACATTATAAAAGTATGTTTAAAGTCGAAGCGAGTGTAAACGAGCCCTTGGAGTGCAGGTGTTGCCCCATTGCAAAGGAAGAATTTCACTTTGGCTTTAAAGGCCAACTCCGGACAGATAAAAATGATCTTTTTGCAGTGGAGCTGTGCCTGCATTGCTAAGGTTAATTGCCTGTTTTGTCTAGGGGGAGAGGAGAAACATGTTTTTGCTCCCACACAAGCTGGTCCATTGGCGTCCTCCCATCCAGCATAGGGCTATGGACCCTGCTCTGGCCTTGGATGACTTCAGGACCCCACAGCAGTGGTGTGTAGGGGCGCAGAAACTGTGGGGAGAATCGGGCAAGTATATCTCCTGTTATTGTTCCTTAGGCATAAACGAGCAATTATTATTATTTATTATTTCAGGTACTTATATAGCACCATCAATTTACGCAGCGCTTTACATATATATTGTACCTTCACATCAGTCCCTAACCCTCAAGGGGTGTACAATCTAAGGTCCCTAACATTCATACATACACATACAAGGGACAATTTAGACAGGATCCAATTAACCTACCAGCATGTCTTTGGAGTGTGGGCGGAAACCAGAGTACCCGGGGGAAAACCCACGCAGGCACAGGGAGAACATGCAAGCTCCAGGCAGGTGGTGCCGTGGTTGGGATTCGAACCAACAACCCTAGTACTAACCATTTAGCCACTGTGCTGCCCATATCCCTTGCAGTGTGGGCACAGCCCCACTACAAGGGATGTTTTATTGGTCCGGAGTTGAGTTGTAACCCCTTGACGCTGACCGTACGCAACTATGGGGCCTCTTGGCAGCTGGGCCTTGACGCCGAGCGGCCGCATATTTCCTTACCATTTTAAAACACACATATGCTGAGAGTACACGCCCTGCGCGTTCCCAGCACATAGTGTCTCACGGAAAGGTCCCGATCCCCCCTTGCGATCGGGACCTTTTCCGTTCATGTGACAGGGACTCACAGCAGTCACATGACCCTAAAACCCCCACCCTGCCTCCCAACTCCCGGCGTCTGAAACCCCTGAAAGGGCCGGAGGTTCCGACGTGAAGAGGTTAAGTGTCTGCCAAGGAGGGGTATATTAATGCAACAAAAGCATGCACTTGGTTCTCAGTTAAAGTGTAATTAAACCCAGGATCTATTTTTCAGTATGTTTCTGGTACAATAATTTTTATTGAGAAGTTTACAAAGCAAAAATAAACAGTGGAGACCCACGTATGGGGACTAAGGCTCAAATGATAGATTCAATTACAAACCTATCACAGTTAAAAAAAAAAAAAAAAAAAAAAAAAATTCAGTACAACGGAAAACAAATAGCAACCAGCAGCCTGTGCTGGAAATGGCAGCATATTTATTGGTACAGGAACCCAGGGTGTGGTAGCTTGGAAGGGTGGGTTGTTCCAACCCTAGGTGGAGGAGGGGCGGGGTAATTGGGGTGGGGTAGGACTGTAAAGCAAGGGGGGACAGAGAGAGAAAGGAGCAGAAGCAGGGGAGAACCGAAGAGTGTGTGCTAGTCAGGCAGCATCCCTCAATGGTTTTTTCAGTATGTTTGGAATCATGCCTCACTGTATATGTTTCTTAGCAAATAGTTTATTTTATTAACCTGTTACAAAAATGATTTGGGAGCCTGCCAGTAACAGCACTTTTAGTGCAGGCTGAGGAAGCTAACCCGCTGCCTCACAATTAGAAACAGTGTTAGGCTCCATGCACACTAGCTTCTTTTTATGCTCCTAGAAGCTGCTGTTAGCATTTTTTTTCCCTCCTCCTAGAAGCTAAATAGTGTTATCCTCTGTGTCCATGCACACTATTTTAGGCCTTTAGCATTTTTTTTTTGAGCTATTGTTTTTGTAGAGTTTTTTTTTGAGCAGAAAAAAACGTTGTTAAAATGCTCCTAACAGCTTTTTTTTCCAGCTTTTTTTATTTTGGGTTTTTTTGTGTTCCCTCTACATGTACTGTAAAAATGCTAATAAAACGCTAACACTCCTAAACGCTTCTGAATGCTACTTAAACACTACTAAAATGCAATTACCAGCGTTTTTTATCCAGCCTTTTTTGAGCCAGTGTACATGGAGCCTTCGCTTGCTATGCAAACTCCATCAGTTGGCTGTAGTGCTGTTTATCAGATCTATCAGATAGGCAGCCCAACTACCAACTGAAGGAGCTCACGAGGCAGGCTGACAAACACTGGCCTTACCGATAAGCTGCTGATTTGCAGTTATCAGTTCTACTACTTGCAGGATCTCTAGATAGGGAATTTTGGTATCTTGTCCCACTGTGTATAGTTTTCTTAAGAAAATGAATATTCTTGTTGCAGGCAAACTGACAAAGAATTTGGGTTAACATACCTTAAGAACCTGTTTTTTTAAAATTTTCTGCATTGATATAGAATGTGTTTCTCTCATGCTTGTTGGTTGTGATCCAGATTTAACTTTATCCAAAATATTCGTTCAACTGCTGCAGCTAAAGGTGCCATGGATGGGGAGATTCTGGGATTAGCATGATGAGATGCGGGATTTGAAGATTGGAGGAGGTTCCAAATATATCAAGTGACTGCTGAAATGTAGCAGATCTCTGCTTCCTGTTGGAGAGCCCAAGGAACCTTAGAAAAATAGCTTGTATGGAGTGAAAGGAGGAAAGTGCCAAGCTGTGATAATTGGACCAGATATAACATTTTCATCAGGCTGTCAACTCTTGATTTTTATTGTGACAGATAAAAATGTATGTCTGGACCAATTCTTAAGGCTAATGCAGGCCATAGACTGGTCGAAAACCGGCCGGTTTTTTAAAAAAAAATAACGTACAATTGGTCGTTCAACAGGCCGACGTTACCACCAACGGTAAAAAAAAATCGGCCACTTTTGTCCTGTCTATGGCCGGAATTTAATTACTTCTGTTCCTGCAGAGAGCTCTGCTATTATATTTGACATGAAAAAGTATTGCGGTTGCAACAATGTATCCATTTCAGATACAGATGGTTTTATTTGGATACAAATAGATACATTGTTGCAACCACAATACTTTTTCATGTCAAATATAATAGCGGACTGGAATTCTTATTTTTCTTCTTCTTCTTGCAGGCCATAGCTCATGCGCAGATTTTTTATTGGTAAAAAGATCAGCCAATTTGCCCATCATTGCCGGGAAAATCGTCCGTTTGGCAAAATCGGCCGATTTTTTTTTTTTTTTTTTTTTTTTTTTTTTCCTCCCCAACTTCACCGATAAAAAAAAAAAGTGTCAAAACACCGAAAAACGGCCGGCCGATTAACCCATTAACGGTGCAAAAATCGGCCAAATTTTTTTTTTTTTCTGTCTGAAAAATCATCCGATTTTCGACCCGTCTATGGCCTGCATTAGTGCTCTCATCCTCCCTGCCAGACCACACAAAAAGTAGTGTTTGCACCACTCTTGAAAAACACCTTGTATCAAATCACATGGTACTATGGTACCATGCAATCCGGTGTCCAAAACACACACTGCATTTGCCATCTGAATAACATAATGCATTTGCCATGTGAATAGCCTATCTTGTTACAATGGCACTTGAAAGTCGGTGGGTAATATTAGGCAGCAAGTGAACATGATGCCCCTGAAGTTGATCTGCTGAAAGCAGAAAAAAGTATTGCCATTGTAATTTGTTGCGTATGGGGCTGCACAGCTGCATAGTCCTGCTTGGTCCATGTGGCGGTTACTTGATGTACCACCTACCTAAACATGGTTTCTGAACAGGTTCATCCCTTCATGGAAATGGTAATCCTTGATGGTAGTGGCCTCTTTCAGCAGGATAATGCACCCTGCCATACTGCAAAAGCAGTTCAAGAACGGCTGGAGAAACACAACAATGAGTTTGAGGTGTTGATATGGCCTCTAAATTCTCCAGATCTCAATCCAGTAGAGCATCTGTGGGATGTGCTGGAAAAACAACTACTATCCATGGAGGCCCCACCTTGCAACTTACAGTATTTAAAGACTCATTTACTGACGTTGAGGTGTCAGATACCAGAGCATGCCTTCAGAGGTCTAGTGGAGTCCATGTATTGATGAGTCAGGAATGTTTTGTTAGCAAAACGGGGCCAACTCAATATAAGTTGGGTGGTCCTAATGTTATGGCTGATTTGGTGTATGCCTAATATACAGAAAAATTGATTGATATAGCAAGAAGGACTTTTAGGTGTCATTTATTTATTATCCCAAGAAAGAGGCAAGTATGAATATGAATACATGGAAACACACACACACTCTATTGCCAAAAGTATCGGAGTGCCTGCCTATACATGCACGTGATCTTTAATGGTTTTCAATTTACTGAGCTCTTGAGAGCGACCCATTCTTTTACAAATGTTTGTAGAAGTAGTCTGCATTCCTAGGTGCTTGATTTTACACATCTGTGGTTATGGAGGTGATTGGAACACCTGAATCCAATGAATTGGAGGGGTGTCCCAATACGTTTGGCAATATAATGTGTGTGTATATCGCAAGGGCAAATGCACAAGATAATATAGAGGGTCTCTACGTGTTTTTCTATCAAATAGCTTCATTGGGAGACCCTAATGTGTTATAAGGAGTAAACCATGGTTAGTGTATAGTATATTTTATCAACAATAAGAATCACTCTAGGGTTATATACTCAAAAATTCACAATCCAATATAATGTGTATAGCTATGCATCTGATATTGGTGTACGTCCAATAGTGAAGCAAAGAATATAAAAAGAATAAAAAAAAATAAAAAAGAAAAGTTGTAGCTTTTGTCATGACTTTTTGGTAGTGCTGAGTCCTTGTACTTAAGAGAAAATCCAGGTATGGGTTGAGACCAACTATGTATATACCATACCTGGCCAATGTCCCTGGAAGCTGGAAATCACTGAAGTAGACATTGCTGTTCCAGTGATTTCCACTTGCTTTGGGGTCCCGTGTGGCGTGGCTGGCCTGATGCATTCTCAACACAAGAGATTGGCCACTCAGGGAAACTATTCACAGAATGCACTGCATTTTCTGAATGAATGCAAAGTGTTCTCTGATTAGACAAAGTGAAGAGGCAGGGTAGCGATGTCACACACAGTATTGTGAAGGAGGAGGTATATGCTGCCCTGAGTTTGATGAATAATTTTTATAACGTTACAGTAAATTTAATATTTTTTTAAATACAAATACACCATTCCAGTTTATTTCAGGTACTTATATAGCGCTGTCAATTTACGCAGCGCTTTACATACATATTGAACATTCACATCAGTCCCTAACCCTCAAGGGGTGTACAATCTAAGGTCCCTAACTTACATTCATACATTCACATATTCGTTCCAAATTAGACAGGATCCAATTAACCTACCAGCATGTCTTTGGAGTGTGGGAGGAAACCAGAGCACCCGGAGGAAACCCACGCAAGCACAGGGAAAACATGCAAACTCCATGCAGGAGGCGCCATGGTAGGGAATCGAACCCATGACCCATTTACTGCAAGGCAGACGTGCTAACCACTAAGCCACTGTGCCGTCCCGTTTAAGTTTTAGCAATGTACTGAAAGACTGAATGGCTGGCTACATATTCTTCACTAGATGTTTCTTTTTAGGACAACTGTATGTCTGTTAAATATTTGAACGCACAAGTGATGTATGAACATTTTATTCATGGCTGATAAGGTAGAGATTCCTATTAAACGCTCTATTTTTTTATTTTAGAGGCAAAATGAAGAGAATTGCCTTCCAGTTCACACCCTATAGCTGGGTAAAGTTTGAATGGAAGCCGGCTTCAAACCTGCGAAGATGGTTGGCAGTCTGCGGCATTATATTTGTAGTGAGTACAAATTTAGAAATGCTTAACCAAGACAAACATTTGATGGGACAATTTTTGATAACCATACAATCACTGGCAAGTATTGAAAAGCAAATTCCGATATTTGCCCAGCATTTCTCAGTAGCAGAGCTAGCAGAGTTGACACCAATACAAAAATCCAAGCAGTGGTGTACAGTTGTGAAAGCCAACTATACCTGTGACGGAAGCGTAGGCAAGACAGAACACACAAAGAAGATGGAGAACACACAAAGCTTTATTGAACTATGAAAGACACTCCATCAGGATAATTCATGGCACTCCGCGACATGCGGCTTGTAGGGACACTCACGGGGACCCAACGGGACTTTGACTGTGGAGTCTGGCCTCAACACAGCATACTAGGGACAACATCAGGCTCACGGGGATTCAATGGGACTCTGGCTGTGGAGGCTGCCCTCAACACAGCTCCCACACAGCATACTAGGGGCAACATCAGGCTCACGGAGATTCAACGGGTGGTCTGTGCACACCATAGGGACAGTTCATGGCACAGGAGGTCTGTGCACACACTAGGGATAGTTCATGGCACGGGTGGGTGGTCTGTGCGCACACTAGGGACAGTTCAGGCAAAACAGATAATAAAACAATATAAATAACCGATAATAAAAACAAATTAAAGCTTTAAAATAACAAGCGAGAATTCATTTTTAACTAATCAGACACCATTTAGGTGTTAAAGTAATTGCTCAACATTATTGTGCTTTAGAATAATTATTTGTAACCTCGGAAATACTTTCATTTATTTGTTTTAGACTGCAGACTCCTCCTATTGATAGATGTAACATAACAAGATTCAGTAAATAATTATGAAAAGGGTTTACGGAATTGTGAAAAGTAAATACTGATTTTTGTCTGCTGAAAAAAAAATGGACTTTTCCTTGTCCAGGAAGCCACAAAATCTATGCCTTGTCATGAGCACTAGATGGAGCTCATGTTCTAGTCATCTGTGGACCTTTTTACTGTTGAGAACAGAGTTGGAGGATTTTCACCGTACCTAGGCAAAACTACATTCTATCTCTCTAATAATCTTCCCTCTATGATAAGAAAAAGGAAATATTAGTCCAATTTTTTACCCTTTTTTTTGTCTGAATGTAGATCTAGGTTTGTCTCAAGCAAATCTGAATTCACTTAATGTTGATTGACTCACTACCTCTGCTGGAAGTCTATTCCAATCATTAACCACTCTTTCCGTAATATAATACTTTCTAAGTTGAGTTTCAAACTCCCCTCCTGCTAGTTTGAGGTCATATACCCGTGTTCTTGCTCTTGGCTTCATTGAAAATGCTACCCTCCTGAAACTTACAGCTTTTAAAGTGGTTGTAAACCTCAGACATAAAGTATGAACAAAGCATATCCCTCTTTAGTGTGTATGTGTCTCAATTAAGAGCACTAAGTGTCATTTCTGTCAGCAGCTCCACTCCTTTGCTGTCAGCATGAATCACTTCTGACAGCTTTTCATGACACCAAGAGAAAATAGGTGGCAGGGGATGGAGCTCCAGCACACAGCCTGTGATTTGACAGTCTTAGCTTTGTTCCTGTGTGTTGTGTGAAGGGGCGGGAGCTGTCCCTCTCCTCCAGTCAGCTCTCAGATCTCTCCTTTTTTGAGATTTGGAGTGTATAATTTCAGCTCTCCACCCCTTGTTTTCTGAAATCTCAGAAAAGTTAAACCGCAAGCACACCAAGTAAACATATACTTACGTTCTAAAATCTTGATTAACAGCATACAGGAGCCGAGGCAAGAATGAAGGCATCAGATGGATGACAAATGAGTGCAGCCAAGCAGGACCTGCAGCAGTGTAAACATCTAGCACAGCCAGGGATTGGCGAACAAGCCGGCGGCAGTACGACTGCAATAAGAGAGAGTGCAGCTGTAAAGCCATCCTGTGATGATGGAGATGGGTGGGGCTGATATGCGTTTCAGGGGCTCCATCCCCTTTAAAAAAACAACCCATTCATAGGGAAACAACCACCATATATAAAGTGCCAACCGGGGAAAAAAGGTGGCAAGGGGCAGGACCAATTGGAACTACCTCATGTGCACCGCTGTGGGTGCACATCATTAGTTCCAATTGGTCCTGCCCCTTGCCACTGTCTTCCCTGGCCAGCGATGTATAAATGCCGGCTGTTTGTCTCTGCAGTGCTTGCTTACAAAGGGGATGAAGCTCCTGAATTGCTTATGGGCCGACAGGTTGGAGTTGACAGCTGCACGCTCTCTCTCATTGCCGCTGCACGCTCTCTCTCATTGCCGCTGCACGCTCTCTCTCATTGCCGCTGCACGCTCTCTCTCATTGCCGCTGCACGCTCTCTCTCATTGCCGCTGCACGCTCTCTCTCATTGCCGCTGCACGCTCTCTCTCATTTCCGCTGCACGCTCTCTCTCATTGCCGCTGCTGGCTTGCCCGCCAATCCCTGGCTGTGCTAGATGTGCACCCTGTTCACACTACTGCAGGTCCTGCTTGGCTGGAAGTTAGTATATAAACAATATCGTGGGACAAGGGTGAACATGCAGGAAAGTCCCGCCCAAAACGGGACTGTTGGGAGGTATGTATGTGCACTGTGAGATCCAGTTTGTACACAGACATATTCTTGTAGGTCTGTGCAATGTATTTGGATCTGGCAGAAACCTGTGGCATGTCTTTTGCATGTGGTGGGGCGATTCCTGTAGGATCCTCACCTAGGCAAGGAATTTTGAACTGGAGGGCCGCACACTTTATCTAAAATATTCAAATTGTCTTTGCGTATGTAAGATGAATATTGGAGGCATAGCATATGAGAGAAAGTTAAATCAAAGTAAAACTATCAACTTTCCCCCCCCCCCCCCCCCTATTTTAAATAGAGCAAGGGGGGGTTATAACCCGTGTCAGATTTATTGTTCGCTATCTGTGTACAATTGCTGAGATTTCCCTTCTCTTTCTGTCCCATAGCCCAACAGGAAGTTAGAGGAAATCCCTGCAAATTTAATTCCTTGGGGACTTGCAGGTCACCAGAACTAGTGTCCCCATTGTAAGATTTCCCCCTTTTTTTTTTTTTTTTTTTTTTTTTATGGAGACAACCAAAAATTTGGGATCTTCATTTACTTTCAAACTTAACAGGGGCACAGATAGCAATAAAATCTGACAGGGGTTCTAATCCTTCTTTAGTTGTACTTTAGTGGCTGAAGGTCAGCTTTAGGTTTTTATCATTTTAATCCAACATGAAATGAAACTGAAATGTGAGGAAACACCTGCTTTAAAAAAAAAACTGTTGACTGAACATCATGCTCCAAGTGGGTACATTATTAACATGTTTCCTTTCATGCAAGGCCAAGTGTATATTTCAAAGTTCTTGTAACTGCACCGTGACTTGGAGTCCTCTTACGACTGCTCATACGTTCTGAGTTTGTAGAGATCTGCCATGGTGGTTGATTGTGCTCCATATCTGAAAGGACTAGTAGTTCTGGCATAGACTTTTATGTATGAGCAGGTTTATAGATTAATATGCTCTTTAGCAAACGTTAAAGTGGGATTATTCATTTTTGATCTAACCCTGATCATGATTCTCTAAATAACCAATTTACTTTTTTTTTTTGAGGGGGGGGGGGTTTAGAAGACCGAAAATACAGATGCCTTTTAGGGTGCCATCACATATATAAAATATACACCAAAATTAAAACTCTGTATATTTTTATTCCTGTAAAACTTTGATCTCAAGATCTATTAGCCCCCCTTTCGTACTGATGCGACTTGTCATGCGATTTGACCATTCAAATTGCATGTAATGATAACCAATGGAACTGTTCTAAAAGTAGTTCCTGCAGTTCCTGGTTTGGGGTGCAACATGCGTAGACATCTGTGCATGAAGTCACACAGATGTCTATAAAGTCAGCCCCGAAGTCAAACTGCCATCTGACTTTGAAATTGTGCGGCTTCAGTTTAAGTGGTACGATTTCAAAGTCAGCTTCAGTGTGAACCAGGGCTTAAAATACATGTAATTCTGGCCACAAATAGCCCGTTTATAAATACATAACAAATACATAAAATACAGTAGATGGTTCACAATTAACCGTTGTCACCCCACCTTTTAGCATAGTGCAGATTTGTTTCTTTTGTAAACAAGGCATTTCCCAAAGTACTGCATAGTAATAGGATGGGGGAAGGGGAGTCCGCAATAAATACGATGCAGTTTGTGGGTTTTGGAGAGCCACTTTGAGGTAATGTGAAACATTCAAACCTCTGACAGTATCACATTTAAATAAATGGACAATTTCTTTCATTCTGCTAACACAAGCCTGTTAGTCACCAGTGAGCTGCGCTCAATCCCTCGGAGGGAAAAGACTTTTTGAGATTCTATCAAGACCCTATAATATCCAACCAGTTAGCATGTCACTGTACAGTGGATATAAACAGTCTACACACCCCTGTTAAAATGTCAGGTTTCTGTGATGTAAAAAAATGAGACAAAGATAAATAATTTTAGAACTTTTTCCACCTTTAATGTGACCTATAAACTGTACAACTCAATTGAAAAACAAACTGAAATCTTTTATGGGGGGAGAGGGGGTAAACATAAAAAAAACTAAAATAATGTGGCTGCATAAGTGTGCACACCCTCTTATAACTGGGGATGTAGCTGTGTTCAGAATTAAGCAATCACATTCAAAATCATGTTAAATAGGAGTCAGTACACACCAGCCATCATTTTAAAGTGCCTCTGATTAACCCCAAATAAAGTTCAGCTGTTCTAGTAGGTCTTTCCTGACATTTTCTTAGTCGCATCCTACAGCAAAAAACCATGGTCTGCAGAGAGCTTCCAAAGCATCAGAGGGATCTCATTGTTAAAAGGTATCAGTCAGGAGAAGGGTACAAACGAATTTCCAAAGGTATTAGATATACCATGGAACACATTGAAGACAGTCATCAAGTGGAGAAAATATGGCACAAAAGTGACATTACCAAGAACTGGACGTTCCTCCAAAATTTATGAAAAGAAGTCTGGTCTGGCAGGCTGCCAAGAGGCCCTACAGCAACATTAAAGGAGCAGCAGGAATATCTGGCAAGTACTGGCTGCGTGGTACATGTGACAACAATCTCCATATCTTCATATGTCTGGGCTATGGGGTAGAGTGGCAAGACGGAAGCCTTTTCTTACGAAGAAAAACATCCAAGCCCGGCTAAATTTTGCAAAAACACATCTGACGTCTCCCAAAAGCATGTGGGAAAATGAGTTATGGTCTGATGAAACCAAGGTTGAATTTCTGGCCATAATTCCAAAAGATATGTTTGGTGCAAAAAAACACTGCACATCACCATAAGAACACCATACCCACAGTGAAGCATGGTGGTGGCAGTATCATGCTTTGGGGCTGTTTTTCTTCAGCTGGAACTGGGGCCTTAGTCATGGTAGAGGGAATTTTGAACCGTTCCAAATACCGATCAATTTTGGCACAAAAACTTCAGGCTTGTTCTAGAAAGCTGAACATGAAGAGGAACTTCATCTTCCAGCATGACAACGACCCAAAGCATACATTCAAATCAACAAAGGAATGACTTTACCAGAAGATTAAAGTTTTGGAATGACCCAGACCTGAATCTGATGGAAAATCTGTGGGGTGATCTGAAGAGGGCTGTGCACAGGAGATGCCTTCGCAATCTGACAGGTTTGGAATGTTTTTGCAAGGAAGAGTGGGCAAATATTGCCAAGTCAAGATGTGCCATGCTGATAGACTCCTACCCATAGCCACTTATATGTGATCTTACATTTTTTCAATTTTTAAGCTTGTAGACCAGTTAATAGAGTAGCTAATTTAAATTGGAAACGCAGAAGTTACTCAACCCTGCTTTAGGATCATAAGACATCAGTTGGAGCCATGCTTTACCTCTGCTCCCTGAAAAGTAAAGGTGTACTCCATAAACAGTGCAAAGTGTAGTAATACATACGGTAGTAGAAAGAAGTCACCTTACTACAGGATGAATCCCGTTTGTGCCAGCTTTTCTGTTTGCACTTGGTGCCTTGTTCCATTTTATTAGATAATCTCAGGTGTTTTATTTATTCTGTGATTGCATTTTGGTTATGTAATTGCAGTTTAGTTATGTGCACTTTAAAATTAATGGTGCTTAGAGAAGTCCTTTGGGCCCCTTTCACACCAAGGGTCCGATCAGGACTGCCTGTCAGTTTTTCAGAAGGTCCTAATCAGATAGTCCATTGACCCATAGGGATCGGCGGGTGTAGACAGACTTATGAACTTTTACACCCACCTACCTCCAGTCTGATTTGGTTCTCATTAACTGCTTCCTGTCCGCCCTATAGCAGAAATACTGCTACAGGGCGGCACCGGTGTGCAAAATCACATGTATATATATATTTGCGGCCGTGGCTGTCAGTCACTGGGTCCTGGCCGATAATTACTCGCTGGCGCCCGGTGATTTCTAAAGATTTCCGACGGGGAGGAGAACTGTTTTGTTTACTAATCCGTTCTACCTGTCAGCCCGGGCACACTGCTCTGGACAGCCATCCAGAGCAGTGTGATTACAGTGAAGTAAACACTCCCTGCACACAGTCAACTCTTTGATCGCCCCTCATGTTAACCCCTACCTGCCCACTGACAGTTCAGTATCAGTACTTTTTTTTTTTTTAGCACTGGGGATGTCAGTGACACCAAGTCAGTTCCCCCCAGTGTCAGAATATCCGCTGCAGTCCTGCTATAAGTCACTGATCGCCGCCATTACGTAAAAATAAAAAAAAAATCCCAGTATATATACCACCATTTGTGAACGCTATAACTTTAAACCAATTAATTAAACCAATTAATTTACACGTATTGGGATTTTTTTTTTTTTTTTTTAGCAAAGCTGTAGCATAATACATTTTGGCCTAAAATTATGACGAAATTTTTTTTTTTTTTTTTTTTTTTTTTTTTACTGGACATGTTTAATAGCAAAAAGTCAAAAATATTATTTTTTTTACTCAAAATTGTCGGGTTTTTTTTGTTTTTTTTTTTTTTTTAATAGCACGCAAAAATAAAAACCTCACAGACTATCAAATACCACAGAAAAAAAGCTCAATTTGTGGGAAAAAAGGACGTAGATTTCATTTGGGTGCAGCGTTGCATGACCGTGCAATTTTTTGTTAAAGTAACACAGTGCCGGTCAGGAAGGGGGGTAAATCCTCAGGAAGGCATGTGGTTAAACAAAAAAAAAACACAAAAGGGAATCCATTCTGCATCCAATTGGATCAAAGAATAATTGGGTATAAATGGACTGCGGAGTCTGTTTACTCCTAACCGCCCATAGAGCAGAGTGGACTGTATCTTTGTCCGCCCTGCATAAACTAAGCGGACACTGATTTGTCATCCGCGCGCTCTGCTCTGATCTAAACTGAGTCTGCCCTGTGGAAAAGGGGCCTTAGGGTGACACTGTCATTGCCCCCCCCAAAATCTTAACAGTTCCTTGCAAAAGAAGAGGTATTATACTTACAGGCTGCAGTTCTCCACTTTGTTGAATGCTGAAGCTCCATACAGAGTCTGTTGGTGCTTCAACACTTCTGAGACTGTCAGATGCCTGCATAGTGTGGTCCCTACATCCTCACAGGAAGACAGCAACCACAGCACAATAGGAGATGGACATCCAAAACTCATGGTCCACTGGAGATATTTAAGACCTGGGGGGGGACATTGTTTTAAGGTCTAAATACTCTACTTTAATTGTTGATATAAGTTTAATAAGGTGCATATATTTCTTAAGCTCAGTAGATAAAATTTCTGTATCTTTGTTTTCTGTTGCTTACAATGTTAAACCACGGGTAGTAACAGTATTATTTTTTCCTTCTAGTTTTTACTGGCAGAATTAAATACATTTTACCTCAAGTTCGTCCTATGGATGCCACCAGAACACTATCTAGTCTTGTTGCGGCTGGTCTTTTTTGTGAACGTCGGAGGTGTGGCTATGAGGGAGATCTATGACTTCATGGATGACTTGTAAGTTTGTTTTGTTTGCAAATGTTGCACTTTTCGGTTTTCTACCCATAGACTAATGTGGTTCTCACTGTTATTTGTATGATCCTCAGTGTCTGAAATCTCTGCACTAGGTTTAATACACAGTAAGATAAGTCAATAACATTTGCATATGAAAAAGCACACCTTGCATTGCCATCTTAAGTCTGTGCATTCAACCTAAAGTAATTTAAACTGAACGTCAAACTAGGATCCAGGGTTCAGCAACCTTTTCCACACTGTATCATGTTTAGAAGCACTAGACCACCAGTGTGCCAGTGAACAATATTGTTTGTAGTCTTAGTTTGGGTTCAATATTATAATTGAGTCTAAAGTGTTACTAAACGCAGGAGCCTGCATTCACTATATCTGGTCTCCCACAGTACACAGAACATGGAAGTGCAATTATTTTAGTAAATATAAACCGCTAAATACCATTTCTCACCAGCAGTTAGAGCAGGCTTGTGACTTCTATCAGTGTTCAGCAGAGCACATGTTAAAGCTTGTAGGAGGAGTTTTCATTCTGGTATAGGAGGATGCATAACCCCTGACCTCTGTCTGGACAGTGCTGATTGGCCCTGCACTGATCACATGCACTCTCCCAAGAAAATAAAAACTCTGTAGGAATAAAGACTAAACTGAGCATGTGCAGAATGGCTACGGTTCAGTCTGTCTTATCAGGACATAAGATGTGGACGTTTGAACAAGAGGAGGAGCAGAGAAATCACAATCAAAAGGCCTTTTTACACAATGCAGAGGATTAACCCCCTAGGTTCCACAGTGGGTATAACAAGCATGCTTTACGGCATATACAGACTGATTTTTTACTGTTGTAATCACTTTAACTCGTCATTAGCAGTACAGCTGTGAGTGCAAATAAAATGACTAACTGGTGCATACACAGAATATGTTCAGTCCCAATGCATGCACTTCAGACCTATGATCAGCCACAATACATATAATTCAGACCATATATCAGCCTCTGTGCAAAAACTTGAACCTGGTGGGCAGGCTTCTTCTGCTGATGTCTTTAACTGCTCATTAGCCTTCAGTGACATCAGGAAGGTGGTTGGGTCAGGCTTTGTAATTGACAGCCTAGTGTGAGTTGTCAATTCTAGTCAGCCTAAGCACACTTGCTGGGGGTTGTTGGCACCTGATATAAACCATGAATACTTACTTCCTTCCCATATCCCTAAGCACAAATAAACATATAGCATGTTTTCCAAAATTCCCTCACCACGTCTGCAAAAAATATTCTTCTCACAAGCGCTTCTGCTTTAGGCAGCTCTAGACTTCTTGCACCAAGGTAGTTTTATTCCACAGGCATCTCAGGAGATTTTTTTTTAACATATTGAGCAGACCTGCACGGACTCAGACACTCAGTTGTAATCTTGCAAACATTTAGTTGTTTTACATGAAAAACCATACCCATTATCAGCTGTATTTATATAGTTCAGCATTTTGCATGTAATGCAATGCTTCCTGAAAACCCAGTCACCATTACCAGTCTGTCCACCGTAAACAAATGAAGCTACAACTACTGTACATGTGCAAAGTTGTTGAATCACCTGCAAATTGTACACATTGCAGGGGTGACATAGCTTGATGATTTATGAGGTTGTTTCAGTACTATGGTATTGTGTGCACAGGATGGCAATGCACTAAGACAAAGAGGACATCCTGGGGACTTCTCTAGCATGTCTTTCTTTTAGATGACTTCACGTGTCTGAAAGAATCCAGATTCCAACAAAATAACTTAAACTGTGGCACACGCACAAAGCGAAAGTTCACAGATGTCAAATTGGTGTGCACAGCATGAATGCATTCAAGGAATAATCGATGGTTCAAATTATGATTGTTTGCAGTCACTGTTTTCATTTAATTTATCATTTTTACCATACTTTTGGTCTACTTTACACTAGTCATGCATCTATAAAACCATGTATAACTGGACACAAAACCATGTATAAATGGGCACATAACTACACCTGGGTTGGGTACAAGTGTAAAACTAATAAATATATAGTAACATCATGCTACTATGTTACTATTTAGTGTCCATAAATACCTTCAAAATATATGTTGTGCACCTTAACCACTTCTCGTCCGGCCCATGTATATAAACGGCTGGATGGTGGCAGTGCAGGGGTGGGTTGCCGTTCATAATAACCATTTTGGACTGTGCGCACTCCCTGGGAGCGTGCAGCACCGCAATCCGGAATGCTGATCACTGTACGGGATCTCTGTGTCAGTCGGCCACTGATTGGCCAATCAGTGATCACATGAATAGGAGTAAGCAAGATGTCACTTCTGACATTGCTTACTTCGTGTGAAATCTGTGAATGATCACAGAGATCACATGGTACAAGGCTATTCACAACAGCCTTGTACCATGTGACAAGCTGTGACCAAGCACAGCTCACACAGTATTTCTCAATGGCTGCAAGAATGCAGCCAGAGAGGAGAAATGACTGCTTTTATAGCCTGTATGTGTGTAAAAGCAATCAGTGTAAAAAAAAAAAAATCTTCATCACCCCCCACTGTACTGCTAGGGTGACTGTATGTTAAAAAAAAAAACATAAATAATAATATAAAAATATAAAAACATTTTTTAGAAAAATTTATAATTTTTGGTTATAAACTAATTTGGGTTTATTTATTTTTTTTACTAAAAAGATAACGAATAAATTTTGGCAAAGATTTATGAAGAAAGATTATTTATTTGCAAAATTTGATAAGAAAAACACTTTTTCAATATTTTTGGACTTTTTCATTTATATAGCAAGAAAAAATTAAAAATCCCAGTGGTGAATAAATACCACCAAAATAAAGTTTTATCTGTCTCAAAAAAATGCTAAAAAAATTCATATGGGTACAGTGTTGCAGGACCGCGCAATTGTCATTCAAAGTGTGACAGCGCTGAAAGCTGAAAATTGGCCTGGACAGGAAGGGGGTAAAAGTGTCCAGATATGAAGTGGTTAACAAGATATTCAAATGACCAAAAAAAATCAGCACACAACATACATCAGTCAAGCAAAATAAAGCAATAATTCATATCTACTTTTGCAGTCTAGAATAGTCAATAAATCCAATGATGTGTAACACTCACAACTCCAGGTGTGATCCCACCACCTACTGGAGTGGAGCTCATTGCATCAGAATGACCACTTTTGTTTCCTAATCTCTCTTGCAGAATCAAACTTGCTTCCTTCTATGGTCTTTAACTCCATATAAATGGATATCCCATGGGAAAATCCACATGTTTTTGTATCATCATTGTGTGCAATGCTAAAGAAAGAGAAAAAGTTGTCTTGTAGTGTTGTCGGAAAACTATTCTGTGCTCACAGACTTAAACTGGAAAGCCTGAACGTATAATGTAACATTGGAATGCTGGAAGCCATTTTGTTCTTTATATTCTGTTTTCATGGTTTCTGAACAAAGACGTTAACATCAGACATTCTCAGTTTCTTACAGCATACTTTCCCAGGTTGTAAACTTGGGGGAGTATGGTTACGAGATAAGGACCGACCACGGTAGCAATTTGCAAGATTAATTGAGGAGTCCATGTCTCGGGTTTAACAAAGGACAAAGAGCTGTTCACAGTGATTTTTTTTTTTTTTCCGTTAACATCGGGAAAATGTACTTTGTATATGGTAGTGTTATTATTTGACAGTATTATTTTGACCACCTGCCCTCCTGAGGATTTACTCCCTTCCTGACCAGGCGATTTTTTTTTTTGCGTTCCTTTAACTGACAATTGCGCAGTCATGCGGCGCTGCACCCAAATGAAATTTCCATCCTTTTTTTTTTTTCCCCCTCAAATTGAGATTTCTTTCGGTGATATTTGATCCCTTGTTTATTTTTTTTTTTTAATGTCTGCGCTCTTAAAAAAAAAAAAAAAAAAAAAAGACAACTTTGAGTGTGCACTGTGCACAGCCATCCAAAGCAGTGTGCCCGAGCTGACAGGGTGGAGAACTGTTAGTAAACAAAACAGTCCTCCCTGTTGGAGATGCTCGGTTATCGCCGGCCGCGACCCGGTGAGTGACAGACGGAGCCGCGAATGGCAGCACGGGTAGGGCGCACGTGTGGCTTGGCTGTGCCCGCTACTCGGCAATGCAAAATCACGTATATATACATGGATTTACACACCCCTGCCGCCCTGTAGCAGTATATCTGCTATAGGGCGGCGGGAAAGCGGTTAATAAAAAGTCAATTGTATTACTATTATTGCATGAGGTAAATACTTGCCTAATTAAGTAATTTGGGGTTTTATATTACTATATTCAAAAAAAATAAGAATATATAAACACACACACTATATTGGCTTCAGCAATTAATACATATTATTAGTATATATTATGAATACATGTTGGTATAAACTTTGGATGTTTTCTACATTATAAATATTTAGAGTTTATTATATTGCGTCTGTATACAACGGAAGAATTTAGATAATTAAGAAATCTCAGTACAAATGACCTCAGCGAATGTCTGTAAGAACATTTTTTCGTATTAAGTGACTGGTCCCAGTTTGCTAACCAGTTCTGTCCAGAGTGACTACCTTCTAGGTTTATAGCCTTATAACAAGCTGGAAGTCGGATATTAGAGGTCAACTCTTGGAGTTGTAGGAAAAATCCAGGGGATCATTTAGGAAAGAAAATGAGACTCGCACTGACCTAGAGCTGACATCACTGATACCATAAAATCTATTTTGGTAACGTATAACTTGATTTCTCTGTAGGCAGTTTGTGTTCGCCTTACATCTCCAGCTAAACCGTTTAGTCTGATAACGTTTATGGTTGGCACGGATTTGATTTAAAATAATTTTAACTGCAGTATAAATTTATCTTCATTTCAATTCTTGGAGGCGGGGAGAGCACTCTCTTTGGAATATTCTCTAAGCTGATTTCAGCCTCTAGTCAATGGTTTAGTTGGTTATATATAACAAAATAGACAACTTAGTGGAAAATTGATTCTTGACTTCAGATTCTAAGCTTATGGATCGATCCTGTGTATGGTATTCTAAATTAGTTCATGTGCTGTGTAAACTTTGAGCTTTGAATATCTGGGATCAGGGAGAGATCACATGGTCAATTTGCATATCTTTTGTCATACTTTGCTGAGTTATTGATAGTTTCCTATGCTGCATTTTTTAGACAGTTGCTCCAATTTCATTAATATTTGATAATATTTGCTGGTTTGAATTTTTAGCCATTATTTTTGATTAGATAATTGAATTGCTATTTTGATTTATTATTTATCATTACCAATTATATTTTTCATTGCTATTTGCACTGTGGTGCACCGAAATGAAACTTCTGGTGCCGAAACCGAAAATTCAAAATGCACTTGGTCGAAAACCGAAATGCGCAGTTTTTAAAAATGAATATATATTTTTTTGGAAAAAAAATACACTTTGATTTAAAAAAAAAAAATATATATATATATATACCCCAATTTTTTTGTAAAATATGAAATAGGATGTTACGGCGAGTAAATAGGTACCCAATATGTCACACTTTAAAATTGCACGCTCTTGTGGCATGGTGAGAAACTGCTGTACTTAAAAATCTCTATGGGTGATGCTTTAAAACAGGTTAGCAGTGTAAAGTTAAAGAGACGGTCTAGTGCGAGAATTATTACTCTTGCTCTGACTTTCGTGGCGATACCTCACGTGTGGTTTGAATACCATTTACATATGTGGGCATGGCCTATGTATGCGTTCACTACTATGTGCGAGCACGGGGGCACTTTTTTTATTTAATGGCTTTTTTTTTTTTTTTTTTTGCACTGTCCCTTTTAGAAAATATTTTGAATCCCCTTTTATTATCACAAGAAATGTCTGCATCCCTTGTGATAGAAGTAATTAGTGACAGGTCCTCTTTATGGAGAGATATGGGGTCAATAAGACCTTGCATCTCTTCTGTGCAGCGTAAAGCATTGGGTCAAAAAAAAGCATTGATCTAGTGCTTTTGACCACTTCCAGTCCAGATGACTGGATGATTCCAGATGATTTTTTTTTTTTTCTTTTACACTGATTGCTTTTACACCCATATAGGATGTAAAAGCAATAATTTCTCTTTCTCTCTGTCTGCATTCTTGCAGTCATTGAGAACTACTGAGTGAGCTGTGATTGGTCACAGCTTGTCACATGGTACAAGGCTGTTGTGAATAGCCTTGTACCATGTGACCTCTGTGATCATTCACAGATTTCACACGCAGTAAGCAATGATATCACAAGTGACATCTTGCTTACTACTTTGCATGTGATCACTGATTGGCCAATCAGTGATCACATGATCGGGACCTCGTACAGAGGTCCTGTCCGATCAGTGTTTCACTGTGGGCACCGGATCGGGGTTCTGCACGCTCCTGGGTAGCGCGCACAAGCAGGGTGCAGGGAGGCTGTTTATAAACGGCCACCCAACCCTGCAGTGCCGCCGTCCGGCCGTTTATATACAACGGCCAGTCGGGAAGTGATTAAAAATAAAAAAAAGAAAATGGCCGGAAACCAGAAGTGATATCGCTCCGGTTCTCCCAGGGCATAGAGATGAGTGGAGGCCATCTTTCCTTCACTAATCTCTATCCCCAGTGCCGCGATTGTTCGATGGTTTCTCAGGTATGGCTGAGAACTACTGAGCAGAGGCGGCAGCGACCGGCAGGGATTTTTCGGCACCTGTATCTGTGCTTTTTTTCATATCGGCCGACGGCTGAAAGGGATGTTTTCGTCCGAACCGTTTCGGTCACCGGAATTTCTGTGCATCCCTAATCTGCACTGATTTTTATTATTAATAAATATATATATTTTTGCACATTATTGTTTTTTATTTCATCATCAAATTAGCGCAAATAAAGAACTCGAGTTATCAGTTAATTTGTGAATATTAGTAGGGATTTTTTCAGAGCTAAAGTTCTATCAGTTTAGTAGGTTCATGTACATTTTGTCACCTGAACTTCATCAGAGCTGCCACTGATGAAGTCTAGATAATGAAACATGTCGCAAGGGGCTGTAGACATGTTTGTGCAAGTCTGATTCCGAATGAGGCATCGAAGATCAGGATTGTAGCTGTGATCTGTTTGAAAAGTTCTGTATACACATGGGATTGTAAATGCTATTTTAGGCTTGATTTTTATAATTACGTTGTTAGATTATTTTCTCTTTCCTGACCATTGCACAACGATATGCTGGTATAAGAACATGCTGATTTGTCAGTGGGTTATTCATCTTCTGTACAGATTTCATAGATGGATGCAAGTTTGATTCCATAGAAGATTATGAAGTGCACTTACACTTGCCTTTACAGGTGGTTATTCTGATGCAATGAGCTCCAGTAGGTGATGAATTGTACCTGGAGTAGTAAGTGATATTGTGGATGGCATTGAAGGATTTATTGGTTATACAATCTAATTTTTGCACATTTCTGTGTGCGCTGCCAATTTAGATTTTTGTCATTTCAGTTTCCTTGAATACCTATTGTTGCTTTGTCCAAATATCAGTTTCTGTATGGTCATAAGTTTTACTTTTTTAATCTTTTGATTTCAGGAAGTTCCACAAAAAGTTAGGCCAGCAGGCGTGGATGGTGGCTGCTATCACCGTCACAGAATTCCTCATAGTGGTAAAATACGATCCATACACCATAACACTACCCTTACCATTCTACGTAACGCAGTGTTGGATTCTGGGTATAGTTCTTGTTCTCCTGTGGACAGCATGGCGTTTTTTTTATCAGGTAAGGAAATCCGCCTCTAATTTCACACATGGAAAATGCATACATTATTGATGAGGATTTTATTATTCTGTGTTAGAAGCATTATACACATTCCCCTTCCCCTAGACTTTCCCCTTCTAGTTGCTTAATCTGTGGTCTGAGATAAAGATGTTGCAAAGGATGTTTGTACTTGTAGTTCATTCACTCACAGAACTCTGTTAATGAATGACACGGCCATGTGGGTGGAACACCGCATGTCCCTGATCTTTTCAAAAAGTGACAGCTGGTATGGGGAACATCTCCCCATACTGCTGTCACACCATCTGCTCGGATCCCTGAGCAACTGCAGGAGGAGTCACATGTTACGTGTTCCACCCTAAAAAGGATGGAACATGTAACATGTTCCCGAAAGTGAACTCGTCCTTGTAATTTTTCAATACTTATCTGCTCTGTGCAATAGTTTAGCACAGAGCTGCCCCAATCCTCCTTTTTATAGGGTATACCATCAGCATTCTCAGGTCCTCCTCTTCTCCGTGTGCCATCATAGGAAGCCACTTCTTGTGGTGGCACATGTTCTGACTTGATCCCGAGCCATGCTGTATTGAAACACACGGTGCAGCTCGGCTCGCCCCCACTCCCTCCTAATTGGATTTGACAGCAGCAGATGCCAATGGCTGTCGCTGCTGCCCCAAGCTAAGTGAGGAGAGAGAAGCAGCGTTGCTCTTACAGGCACAGCACTGGATCGAGATCAGGCTCAGGTAAGTAGGAAGGGCTGGGGGAAGCTGAACATGGGGGGGGGGGGTTGCAGATAAAGCATTAAGGAAAAGAAAACTTAAGGCTTTACAACCACTTTAAAATACAGAGGAGCAGTTGTTTAATAAACTGGTGCAGTATTTCTGGCCACAAGTGAGTGGAATTGACAACAGATGCATGAACCTGACAATTTTCATAGGATGTTGCAGGATAGAATATTTGATCATACAGAACTTACAACATAGACCATTCACAGGATGATTGAGCTGTGCACATTAAAATCTGCCGATGTGTCACAAGAGGAAATATGTTTTCTTTGGATACCTAAAATTTTTGTTTGTGACAAAAAAATATATATAATACATACAGTATCTCACAGAAGTGAGTACACCCCTCACATTTTTGTAAATATTGTATTTTATCTTTTCAAGTGACAACACTGAAGAAATGACACTTTGCTACAATGTAAAGTAGTGAGTGTACAGCTTCTATAACAGTGTGTGCTATCCCCTCAAAATAACTCAACAGACCGCCATTAATGTCTAAACCGCTGGCAACAAAAGTGAGCACACCTCTAAGTGAAAATGTCCAAATTTGGCCCAAAGTATCAATATTTTGTGTGGCCACCATTATTTTCCAGCACTGCCTTAACCCTCTTGGGCATGGAGTTCACCAGAGCTTCACAGGTTACCACTGGAGTCCTCTTCCACTCCTCCATGACGACATCACAGAGCTGGTGGACGTTAGAGACCTTGCGCTCCTCCACCTTCCGTTTAAGGATGCCCCACAGATGTTCAATAGGGTTTAGGTCTGGAGACATGCTTGGCCAGTCCATCACCTTTACCCTCAGCTTCTTTAGCAAGGCAATGGTCGTCTTGGAGGTGTGTTTGGAGTCGTTATGTTGGAATAATGCCCTGCGGCCAGTCTCTGAAGGGAGGGGATCATGCTCTACTTCAGTATATCACAGTACATGTTAGCATTCATGGTTCCCTCAATGAACTGTAGCTCCCCAGTGCCGCAGCACTCATGCAGCCCAGACCATGACACTCCCCCCACCATGCTTGACTGTATGCAAGACACACTTGTCTTTGTACTCCTCACCTGGTTGCCACCACACACGCTTGACACCATCTGAACCAAATAAGTTTCTCTTGGTCTCATCAGACCACAGGACATGGTTCCAGTAATCCATGTCCTTAGTCTGCTTGTCTTCAGCAAACTGATTGCGGGCTTTCTTGTGCATCCTCTTTAGAAGAGGCTTCCTTCTGGGAAGACGACCATGCAGACCAATTTGATGCAGTGTGTGGCGTATGGTCTGAGCACTGACAGGCTGACCCCCCACCTCTTCAACCTCTGCAGCAATGCTGGCAGCACTCATACGTCTAGTTCCCAAAGACAACCTCTAGATATGACGCTGAGCAGGTGCACTCAACTTCTTTTTTGGTTGACCATGGCAAGGTCTGTTCTGAGTGGAACCTGTCTTGTTAAACCACTGTATGGTCTTGGCCACCATGCTGCAGCTCAGTTTCAGGGTCTTGGCAATCTTCTTATAGCCTAGGCCATCTTTATGTCGAGCAACAATTCTTTTTTTCAGATCCTCAGAGTTCTTTTCCATGAAGTACCTTGTTGAACTTCCAGTGACCAGTATGAGAGAGTGAGAGCAGTAACACCAAATTTAACACACCTGCTCCCGATTCACACCTGAGACCTTGTAACACTAACGAGTCACATGACACCGGGGAGGGAAAATGGCTAATTGGGCCCAATTTGGACATTTTCACATAGGGGTGTACTCACTTTTGTTGCCAGCGGTTTAGATATTAATGGCTGTGTGATGAGTTATTTTTAGGGGACAGCAAATTTACACTGTTCTACAAGCTGTACACTCACTACTTTATATTGTAGCAAACTGTAATTTCTTCAGTGTTGTCACATGAAAAGATAGAATGAAATATTTACAAAAATTAAGGGTGTACTCACTTCTGTGAGATACTGTATATTTACACAAAGATATATAGATGTATGACAAGCAATATAATTATGTATAATACATAGTAAAAAAATGATCATTTATCATAAGTCACCAGTTTACACCGCTGCGATTTGTGCGTGATTTCTGAAGGCTTTATTGCGACTTGTGAAGATTTTAAAAATTTCTTGCAATTTGCAGTGCGATTTCAATTGTATTCTATGTATGTGAAATCGCAACAAAACTGCAGAAAAAGTAATGCAAGAACTACTTTCGAAATCGCACTGCAGCAAATCACACATATTAAGACACTGACGTTCACATTCATTAGATGCGATTTCAGTTCGCAAATCGCACCGGCATGAGGGGCACTAAAGCTTCAAATTACCCATTTTATTTATGTGGCACAGCAATTCCTAACATTTATTTTTGTAATTGTTTCAAAAACATATCAGAACTGAAGCTACAATCTTTGGTTCTGGAGCAGTGCTTTCAGTTGGTCTTGCATGATTAGATGGGGCTGCTTAATTTTTCTGCTGCAGACTGCTTGGTGTGCAACAAGTTAGTGTGTACATGGCTTGTACACACTGAACACTCAGATTATGTGAAAGAAGACTGAGAATTGCATGTTTTAGCAGAACTAAACTCCCAAACACACTCTCCTTTACTTTCCAGTGATGTGGCGGTTAGATCCCTCACCAGCCATTGTCATCTCTTCCTCTGGTGCAGGCTTTTCAGCCTCTTGATTAACCAGTCAGAGATATCGTCATGCTATGCAAGTGTACAGGAGTCGGTCATTCTGGCACATCTGGAGTGTGCTGGGAACACACAATGAGCTGAGCATGCACAGCATAGTTGCATTCAGTAAAAAACAGTGAGCAGGCAGGTCAATGGTCAGCTAGACACTCAGCGCAGCCATCCACAATACAGGCAAAGTACAGAGAGGTCTGCAGACTTGCAATTAAAGTGAGCTGCAACTACGCAGACTTGAGAGATGTTCAGCACACTGTAACGTGTAGAGACACCTATTCAAAGTGAATGCTGAAGTGGTGGGTAAATGGAATGGCACCTTACTCATACATTCCAGAGTATACAAGTGTCACTTACACACCCGAAATACCCAACAAAAGACCATCTATTTTGCCACAGGAGAAAATGCTATGTTTTAGGCTGCACAAGGGATCCCTTCATTGTCTGTATTGCCTAGATCAGGGGTCTCCAAACTATGGCCCTCCAGGTGTTGAGGAACTGCAAGTCCCATGAGGCCTTGCAAGACTCTGACAGCCACAGGCAAGACTATCAGAGGCACGATGGGATTTGTAGTACTTCAACAGCTGGAGGGCCATAGTTTGGAGACCCCTGCCCTAGATGAAATGTTCCCACCTTGGCCTCAAAACATTCTCTTGTCCCCAAATCATTAAATTTTCCCATGTGACAGAATAAATGCACCTTTATTGAGGGATTGCAGTGTGCTGGTGACACTTGTATATTTTAAGTGACCTTCACATGCAAAAAACAAAGCCCTTCTACACACGAAATAAAGGTTATTTATGTATTTGGGTGGAGGTCTCTTTTTTCAAGTGTTGTCATTATTACTGTTTCTTTTTCATTTGCAGAGACATTACACTACGCTACAAAGAAATCCGTCGGCAGAGACAAGAGTACAGAGTGGAGGATGATGCGTTACAGAGGAACGGTGATGCAAATACCGAAAGGAACTTGCCTAAACCGAAAAACCAATGAGTTTTACCACACCAACTACCCCACGCTGTGTCTTTCCACCCTACCCACCGTTACTGAACATGAATTGTACTTTTTATATTTTAATGTATTGGATACTTCTGCTATTTAAAAATGAAACCTGTAAACCTCGTGCTTTGCTCGTTCATTTTTTTTTTTCTATTGTCCCGTTTGGAATGGAAACTGGAACTTGAAGGTCAAGCCTGCCTATCTGCACCGTGCTGACCACGAGCCTGCATACTCTGACTTGCCGCTTTTGTACAGTAACTGATGAACTAAACATTTTACATTTGGCAAATAATTTAAATAATCCGTAACAAGTGGAGTTGTGTATTTTTGTTATATTTATGGAAGATGGTGATATTTTTTTGAATTTTTTTAATGGGAATTCCATTTCATTTATTGAGACATTTCTTAATTTAATAATTAATTGAAGGTGAAACTGCTAAACTAAACAAAATATTTGAGTTTTTAGTGTTTGTCAGTTTTTTGGGCTTTTAATGTGTTTGAATATGATTCCTAGCAGCCATTTTGTAGCTGAATATTTATTTTATACTTGCTAATCCACCAGGAAGCAGATTATTATGAATAATAACTGATAGTCCATTGG